ATTAAGAATGGCCCTGATTTACAAAAGCCTTAAGAAAGCAAAAAAAAACATAACACTGTACCCTGTTATACATGTCCTATGTAGAGTTAGTGTGATAATTGCTATCCCATCCCTTATAAATCTTTAGCTAAACAATCCTAATAAGTTATCAAAAACAGTGAAAGTTAGAGATTAATAATAGCGGAAGAACACGAAGAGAGCAGCAGGAGATAGCAAAATAGAGGGGCTTTAAGACTGGTTTAGGGCTATCAAATTAGAGGGACTTGAAGACAGTAGTTTAGGGATAGCAAAATAGAGGGGCTTTAAGACAGGGGTTTAGTGCTAGCAAATATTGGAGCTTCAAGACAGTGGTTTAGTGCTAGCAAAATATAGGGACTATAAGACAGTGGTTTAGGGCTTATACTCCATTGGTAAAGGCCAGACGAGAAAGAATAACCCTTGTGCCCTGAGAGCCTTATGATCCAGTGATCCTGATAATCTATCTATTTCAAATCCCCAGGAAGTCATCAGACTAGTATTGCTGCACTAGCCAGTGCCCAACAAGCCAAGTAATGTCACTGGTTCTGCTTATACTTGCCAGTGTTTAGGAGGACTGGAATGATTATATTTACTAAAAGTAGCTTTAGGGGGGCAGGGGAGATGTTTGTGGGGGGGGGGGGGGGGGATTTGGCTTGTAAAAAAGCCTTATGATGTCCTAATTTTCCTTTAATGGTCAAATGGCAATGGAATGCCTTTTTTTTAAAACAGGTTAATAAGGTCAGAGAATGAGGTCACCATGTTTGAATGATAGCAGGGTTTTGCTGGGAGTATTATGTATTTAACAAACAGTGAACATGACAGGGTGTGTAAATATCTGCAAACTGTGGTATTCTTCAGAAACTACAAGTCTGTAGGTATCGTCTTCCTCTCTTTCCTGTACTCTGCTTTTGCCAATCTTATAATAATTTATTTCTTCAGATATAAAGTTTACAGTGCATTTCTTGGGTTGCTGTCCTTTGGTGTTAAATCAAGGAAAATGCCACAACAACAAGAACTTGGTTGTTCTTTGCTTAAAGATCATAAAAGGAATTCCAGAGAAATTTGACTAAAAAGCTCAAGAAAATGGGGAAGCAGAAAAACATGCACAAAACCAACACAACGTAACGTTTTGCTGTGCATCTCTATATGGTAAAGATTATAAATCATCAAACATGACTTATAAGCTCCGATCTCCTCCTGAGTGGCTCTCTAAGCGTTTTTAGGCTAACAACTTCCATTCTATCTATGTGATGACAGGTGGTTCCCGCATGGTTTTTCTCACATGATGCAAGCAAAGGTGCACTTAATGTTTAGAACAAATCTCAACAACAAAAGCACACATGTAAACAATGACATGTGGTGTGCCTAGGATAAGGGCTCACCTATCTACATCTCTCCCATGGTCATCTTAGAAACAGATTCCCAAGTGGGTCATCATCATTACATGCCAGTAAAGCAAGAGAAGAGACAAAAATCTCAGCTCAATTGCAGATACTCTGTGGCAAACGACATTTTCACAGACAAAACTGGCCACATGTGTCAATGCTGTTGCTAAGGCGGTAATGATGTTGATCAGCCATACAGTTGAACACACATTAATAGCAGTGCACAATCACTGCACTGGTCTTCGCACAGATATCCAGCAGTGTGACATATTTCTGTGCTGCTTCAGAACTTCACAAAGATGAACAAGACAAAGACTGCATGACTGCATAACCTTGTCCAGGCTGAAGGACATTGGGGTGCAACTTGGAGCTGCAAGAAAGGAACATTTCACTAAAGGGACAAGATGTTTAATTAATCAGCAATGAACAGGCAAAATCAGCCATTCTGCAGCTATGGAGGAGATCGGAGCACCTATGGATCTGTCTGGAGTGTTGTGATTATAATCCTTACTAATCCCAACTGGAGGCCAGGCCAACGTAGACAGGATCGACACAAGTCGGAGTGCATCTGCATCAGAAGCAAGGAACCAACAGCCTGTAAACTAATAAGTCAGATCTGTAAAACAGACGTGCACGCCACATTCAAGTCATGACACAAAACAAAAGTCCAGAAGTGGGGGATCTACGAGAACCTTTCGCCCGAGTGTATAGCCGGTGAACACGAAGAAGAACACCCTCCTACTGCATTATGACATTTAAGTATATTTATTTGCTTTTAATAGCAGGCCACACTATTAACTATACGTACTCTCACATTAACAATAATATAATCAATTACTTCAATTAACAGAAACCAACCTCTGACATTTTCATGACACTGTGAGTATATTTATTTGCTTGGTCAAACTGGCACAATACCCTGGAATTGAGCAATTCACTATGTGCCCGGTGTAGCTGGCCTTGTTTTGACATCCCCACAATCACCAGAATCATGGATTAAGTCAGTGCTCTATTAAGCAATGATGTGTACATTCAAGGATAAATCTGGATACTCCCAGAAATCTGGTAGTCAATAGAACAATACAAGAGGTAAAGATGAAATAATGTGTTGCCACAAAGAAGGCGCTCCCAAGACTGCAATGAGCACAGTTAGGCACACAGTGTGGAAACAGCAGCAGCAAAACTGACAAAAGCATTCGTTGACGAATAGTGTCACATCATAAAAAGGGGACTAACTTCAGTTTACAGTAACAATGGGAATAGCTGGCAGGGGAAACAAATGATGAGGGAAAATAAGTAAGAAGGTACCGTACAGTCTGGCATCACTGCATGAAGGATTATCAACTGAGAAAGGAATAAAAGTAGACAAGACAGAGGAAGCCATGACAGCACAGTGGCTAGATGCTCACCTGCTGGCATAAAGGTCTAAGGTTTAAATCGGCATCAAGGTAAATTTTTTTTTTTTTTTTTCAAAATCACGCACAGCTCCCAGGCTAAAATGGGTACATGGTAATACCCTGGAAAGTGAAGGCCAACCAGTTTGCTACTGAACAAATCACTCAATGATCACCAACTTGTCTACTAAAATACAGGTTCTAGCACTATACACACAACAGGCCTAAGGCATTAGGATATTTCTTTCTTACTTACTGATACAAGGAGTTGCCGTGGCGAAGCGGCTAGACACTCACCACAGATCCGAAGGTCGTAGGTTCACTCTCTAGCAGAGCCGGACTTTTTTCAAAAATAACCTTGGCTCCCAGGTCGACCCAGCCTTGAGCGGGTACCGGGTGCAGTCCCGGGAGTAAAGACAGCCAGCGTGATGCTAACTACATCACCCATCTTGTGCAGATTGGTTTGTAAAATATAGGTCTAGCCCTATATGCCCTTACGCCTAAAGGAGTGGAAAAGGGTCCTTTACTTACTGATACATAACAGAGGCTGTGGAAAGACATCCCTACCAATGCCAAAGACTATTAGAAGAAGATGAGTCTTGCCCCGGACATATATATATTTGGAACATCTGGTGATAGGTATTTCCTAGGTCAAAGTGTTACAACTGCATACATTACATCAGAGGGCCACATCATTAATAATTCCATTAACATAAACACACACCCACTTCTTTATGCACACAACCCTCCACACACACCCAGAGAGACCACAGTTGACCGTAAAATGTACAAAGTAAAATGGCTTAGCAGAACCCAGTATCTACTCTTATAAATGGTAATAAATAACTGAAGCATATACATTGTACAGGGTGAAGTGGATAGCCTTAACTGTTGGATATACATACAATTCCCCACACCTGATTTCATGAGTTATGTAACATAGCTCGTGTATCTACAGCAAAACAGTTGAGATGTATAAGTACTTTCTATATAACAATGAGAAAATCTGTTTACCTGTCATTCAAAGAAATGACCAGTCACTGAAATGTTTTAGCAGAATGCAGGGTATTAACTATAAAATCCATGTGCAGTTTTATGTTTTAGTTAATTCTGAAGGTAAATAACTGGTTAAGACCCTCATGACAGTACTGGTAAATGATTTCATAGAACATCAAAGAATCAAATGGTTCAGTCATCCGGTCACAAAGGAACCAAATCAGTCAGCAGCTGGGGCATACTACAAAGAACAGCAGGCTACAAGTCGAGAGGCCGACCAAGAAAGAGAGGGGAAGGAAGGAGTAAAAGAGACACTGCAGGAAAACAGGATGACAGTAACATAGGCCAGGCAACTAGCACAAGACAGGAAACTACATCTAACTCCTCTCCGTGAAGCTTTACAATATACAAGCAGGAGGGCAAAAGAAAAAGAAGGCTCACTGGAGAAAAGGATGGGCAAGAGGACTAATTTGATTCAGTTGATGTTACCCTTAAATGAGTTAGTGGTCCTCGACAGTAAACCAGCCTATTGGCTTCCATAAGAATCATATAAAGAATGAAAGTCCACAGTTTCAGTGATGACACTCATAGACCTCAAAACACCTGCACAAAGAAAACTGAAGGACTGATGCATGTGCGTGCTTCTGGATTTTGCCGGCAGCAATAACTGTTTGTGTTATTTTCACTGGCACAGGAAACGAAATAATTATCGAGTGACCCATCTGCAACATCAAGCGACTGTCAACTACTGAAGGAAATGAGCCTGAAACAGATCCAGTGAACTTTATAGCTTCATGCCCAACCCCAGTCTGGCTGCAAGAGCTGCACTCAAATTGAACTCTATGATATAAAGCCAGTTTTGCAAGTGATGTTAGGTTTTGTCCATTTGAGGCTAGAGTTTACACACTGTGGAAACAAGGAAAAAAACAATGGAAAAAAAAACTGCATGAGAATTTTCTAGACCCAGTATTACTTTTTCGTTTCATCAGCATGCTCACTACTTCAGAGCTAACACATGGAAGATGTCGGTAATGAACGGTAATGGATGCGAAGGTGAGCTCTGTTTGCAAGCTAGCTGTCTTAACAAGAGGTGAGACTTGTGTCAAACACTGGTTTATTCCCGTTTTGCCTCTGGTGGACCAAGAAATAACATGTCTGAAAGAGAAACCCATCACAACAAAGAACATGTTATAATGAGACATAATCGTTAATTTGTTTCCATATCGTCTTCCTCACTAGCTGCTCCGACACCATTGGGGATGGAGGATTCTGGGTACTTGCTGTTGACAGAGTCTTGGGTAACTGTCAACGATGTCCGGGAGTTGTGGTCCTTCGCTGAATGCAGCAACTTTCGATTGTGGCTGAGGTTTCTTCTTTGGTAGACAAGGACATAGGCAGCTTTTGTCTGTGGAAGGAATAAGTAGTGGGTTTTTTTCTGGAGTGTCCACAAAAATAAAACATTGAACTGAGGATCATGTCAATAAGCTAATAGTAACCTATTATTGAGGAAAGGATGTGTCTGAGGTGTGAATGAATTTGCTTTGCATGAGATGTTTCTTCGTGCTGATGTGGACTGTCTCATGATGTAAGATGGGGGGGGGGGGGGGTACTAACTGTCCTATGTCAATGTTAATAAATCACTTTCAAAGATATTTATTGTAGGTTACAGTGTTAATAGTTTTTTTTTGGCTGTTGCTTCCCTTACGGGCCTGGTTACACATGGACACAACTATTCTAAATTACTATAATTTGTGCATAATATTATAGAACATCAAATGTTAACCAACGTAAAACTAACACCTGTGAAATAAGATGGCTGAGAAAAGTCATCAACCTAACCATTCGAGATAAAGTTAGCAATGATATTATCAGACAGACTGTCGAGTTAAAGTTAGCAATGATATTATCAGACAGTTTGTCGAGATAAAGTTAGCAATGATATTATCAGACAGTTTGTCGAGTTAAGGTTAGCAATGAAATTATCAGACAGATTGTCGAGAGAAAGTTAGCAATGATATTACCAACATCTCAAACACAAACAAGCATGACTTACAACAACAGCGTCAGCTGAAGAGCTGGTGACACTTGAGTCATCAAAATAGTACCAGTTGCCATCATCTTTGTTCATGGCGAATGCTGTGTCTAAAATCATGAAATAAAAACTATGTTTTAAAGTGCTGTTGCAGATTAGACATTTTAACAATATACCATTAAAAGAATACATTCTATGTAATATTTCTTTGTCAACTGAGGTGAGAACAAGAATTATCAAGAGCTTTATCAATCTTATCAAGATATACGAAAGTGAATCATGGACGGTTAATCGACTAGCGAAAAATTATGTGGAAGCGGCAGTTTCCACATACAAATGGAGCAGCATTAACACAATAGTCTCAAATTTCCTGGTTGTATCTTCTCATCTTGGTCCATGTGCAACTTACAGGCATCATGGTTGATTGTAAACAGCAGGAGTGCTTGCTTGTGCTGTGCTTCATACACAGGGATTCTCAAGGACTCTGCAGCTTTCTCTGTCCATCATTTGCTTGGCTGGATTTTTTCCCCCACAATTCTTGGCTGATCTGTTCATCATTGCTCATTGTGGTATACTGTCCAACGGCAACCAAGTTCGGCCAAATCCCTACCAATATCTCTACCTTCTATTTCTTCAAGCAGTACAATAAGCCACTGAAGGCTTGCTAGGCCAGCTGCAAGTTGAGGGGTGGGGGGATGACCTAAGTGAGCCATGTCACACGGTGAATATATATTCTCTACAGCCTAAAATTACTTCAAGCAACCAACAATGGCATTGTTATTAGCCCACAATCTGATCAAGACTATAGTGTGGGTTCAACCTCCAAAAATCACAGGTTTCTGTTTCAAGACATGGTCTGGTGTCTAGCAAGTCTTACAGAAATAGACGCTTATTCATTTTTCTAGAATATTCTGGGAACTGTAGGGAAGAGGAGACAGGAAGGAACAAAACTATCCATCCCTTGGCCTGAAATTTAAGACTCTAAACAGTTAAAAGCAGTAAAATACCAGATATTTCACTTCACTTTGACTGTTCATTTTCGTTTATGAGTTAACATTTTATGTCAATGCCTAATACGGTTAATTCAGCCAAATTTATGTCTTGCCCTTCTTTGCTGACAATGACATGTCGCTGCAATGCCTTTGTTTACTGTAATTTTGACAAGCTGACAGAATGGCCAGTTTTCATGCTGTACTGTGGTTTACAGGTGGCGTCCGTGGCTAAGGCGTTGCGAGTCCGACTCGTAAGCCAGCATACCGCAATCGAAATCCACTGCAGGCTGCATGGATTTTTGTAGTGGTATGGGACGTCGCAGGTCGACCCAGCCTAAAATGGGTACCAGGATGGGCTGTCCTGGGAAAGTAAAGACAGCCGGCGTAATGCTGACCACATTACCCACAGAGTGCTGATGGTCTGTAAAAATATGGGACGCTCTGCCCATATGCCCGATGCGCCGAAAGGCGTGAAAAGGGAACTTTACTTTTTTTTTAAAACTGTGGTTTACAGCCAGGCTGTGATATATGTGCCTTGTGGCTCAACCACATCGAATTTCAGGAAGCCCTTCATTAGTCACCTTTTATGATATGCTTGTTAAGTGGCAGTGATCTCCATTTTCCTCAATAGGGCCCTAGAACTCACAGGGGGAACAACAGAAATTCACATTAAGAAAAGAACTTACAGTGACCACCTCCAAGGCCTCCATAATGGTTGGTTACAGCGATGAGATCATAAACATTACACTCTGCTGACTCCTCATTAATGATGTACTTGCGTAGGTCTAAACCTCTGTAACAGAAAAAAACCATTATACTCTGCTGACTCCTCATTAATGATGTACTTGCGTAGGTCTAAACCTCTGTAACAAAAAATAAACATTATACTCTGTTGACTCCTCATTAATGATGTACTTGCGTAGGTCTAAACCTCTTAACAGAAAATAAACATTATACTCTGCTGACTCCTCATTAATGATGTACTTGTGCAGGTGTAAACCTCTGTAACAGAACATAAACATTACATTGTGCGGACTCCTCATTAATGATGTATTTGCGCAGGTCTAAACATCTGTAACAGAACATAAACATTACACACTGCTGACTCCTCATTAATTATGTACTAGCACAGGTCTAAACCTCTATAACAGAACATAAACATTATACTGTGCTGACTCTTCATTAATACCTCTGTAACAGAACATTAAATGATACTCTGCTGACTCCTCATTAATGATGTTCTTGTGCAGGGCAAAACACATCCCTGTGGTGTATACTACTTTTTAAGTTGGCCAACAACTGACAGCATTTTTCTGTTCCTGACAAACACAACATTCTAATATCAGTAATTCTTGGTTAACCATTAATTTTTACAGGTTGAGGTAGTCAATCTTAAGCCCAACCCTGCCCCTAGTCACCTCTTTCGATAAGCCTGGTACGGTGCACAACAGGAGGATCTTCAAACATGACTTGTGTTTCCAGGTTGATCCAGCACAAAATGGGTACCAAGGAAATGTCCCAGAAAATAGAGTTAGTAGGGATGATACTGTTCACATCACCTAACTGGTGTCGATTGGTCTATACAAATATGGATTTATTTGCCTATTATGCTTTCAGGTGTGGAGACAAGTACCGAAATGGGAAATAAACAGATGGAAGAGATGAGGATGTTCAAGAGAAACCCTGAGATAAACACTGCTGAGAGAGGCTAAGGGCGCTGGACTGGATTCCATGGATGATATCTAGAGGACTGCACATGATAGAATGGAATGCTCCAAGCCCCATGTGAGATATAATTACCACAACAAGATGATGATGATGATGATGTAGTTTTTACTTTGTCTTCTTCAAAAGCACTCTGGAGCTTAAGTTAAAATCCAGTCAACAGTCTACAAAGTGCTTGGCACTGTGTTGGTTAAGTTTGTTTGTTTGTTTTTATTTCCAGAAGCCAGGAGTTGTTAACCCTTTGGCTCGGTATTATGGATTTCGCAACCCTTCGGCTTTGATTCCATGATAGGTACCGTAAATCTGGGAGAAAATGTGGCTTTTCTGCCTACCCCCGGGAGTAAACCCGGACCACAAGGAGTTCGTCACCCGGTCACTGCGCAGTCCGGTTTAGCCAACTACGCTAGAGAGCCGGGCGTGTTGGTTAAGACATATGCTTCACTGGTAGATTAAAGGTAAAAAAAGGAAATTGTTTAATTTACTAGATATTTTTAAAAAAAAACTTCTAAAAAAGCCTTTGGCCGTTACTACTTGTGTAGGAGCTTTCTTTGAAGTATCTGCCTGAGAGGCAAGGAACCAACTGTCTGAATACAAATGAGTCAGATCTGTAAAACAAATGCACATGCAACACTCAGGTTCTGGAACAGGACTGCAGTCCAGAGGTGGACGAACAACCAGAACTTTCCGCCAGACTTTACAGCTGGTGAATGCGAAGAAGAAGAAGAAGACTACTACTTCATGTCAAAGAAGTTATCTGCTCCCTTCGGCATCTGTTGCAAATAAGCGAGGACTGAAAGTGCTGACATATGTCTAACATAACATAAGGTGACTTACTGTACAGGAAACTCTACCAGAACATCAATCTTGTCCCTCCAGTACTTGTTGTAAGAAAATCTCTTCAAGTGAATGATCAGCACATCAGGTAATGACCATAGGTCAAATTTCTTTGTGGCCTGCTGGTGTTGCTTGCAGTCTGGGCAGTACCTGTTGAGTCAGAAGAATTTAAACAGCTGAGTATTTTGTCATGAAACAGACAACTAAACTTGGAATTCGGATGGATTTAAATGGAGAGACAAAAACTGCATACACAAGGGAAAGGAATGGCCGTATGCCAAGCAGCACAGCAAGAAGACAGTGGAGAGATAATATCCAAGCAGACATAAAAACACCTGGAGTCACCGAATGGACAGGGTAAAAATAATTCAAATGTGAAATTCCGAGAACAGAAAAAAAAAAGACAGAGCAGATATTAAAAGGTGACGACAAAGTTCACACATACCACGGATCCTTCTCACTGAGCTGCTCCTCTTTCATGAACAGCTTCAGACAATCATCAAGCTGGATGACAGTCCTTTTCTGCGCATTGCGTGATTTCATACTCTCATGCTCCTCAAATTCCTGCAAGTATAATATTTCAGTTTTAAAAACAAGTAAAGGGCCCTTATCAAGGGAACAGTGTGTTCGGTGTACGGTGCTAGACCCTGATATTGAGTCCATTTGGAATTTCAGGCGGTTGTGGACAATATCATGCTAATCACCTTTACTTACCAAGACATTTTCTAGTACATTTTTTAAGGCTAAGTTAAGCCTAAAGCTAAGGTTAATTAGAACAAAAAAATATGCTTTGGTGTGGATTCAAACTCAAGACTTTTGTGTAAGCAGTCAAGCACCTAGCCACAGCAAAACTCAGTTAACATAAACATATTTTAGTCTCAGCAGAGATGTGAGTCTCTGGTTAGCACATATTTTTGTTAGACACAAACTCTTATTATTTTTGGTCTCGTGGATTAGGTGTTCACGAAGTGTTATTGTATCATCACAATTACCATTAATTCAAAACAAGTATTACCTCTGCTGCCTTTTCGTTGAAAAATCTCTCTTTGGCCGCTTTACTCCAGTCAACAGCAATGTATGTCCTGCCTGTCAAAGGTATGGTTAATATGTAAGGACATTTAATAAAAATTACAATCCTGAAAAAACAACATCAATTAAACAGTCTAATGAAAAGGCCAAATAAACATGCTACACATGATAAAAAACTGATGACTTACCACTTTATTGCATCAGAAACTAAACAAAGCAACATCTATTAATTTACAAGCAAGAACATTTTCTAAAATCAAGAACAGGTGGATAAGTGGTCTGTGGTTGAGTATAATCTCAGCCATAAGACCTTAGTTCTAATCTCGGTGGTGAAGTTGTCAAGCTGTTTGCCTAGTGCTCTGAAAGTAGTGCAAATGTTACGAAGATCCATGGGGATCGTTGCTGGAGCTTAGGAGTTTGTGCTCTGTGCAGCACTCTCGGCAGGCAGTTAGCTGTTCTGCAGAGAGAGACCGAGACACATGGGATAAAACCCTGCGCAATGAAGTCGATCCTCTCGGCTTTAACCTCGAGTTATAATTTCTGGTTTAAAAGAAACACTATCCCGTGTGGGTTCCGGGGCCCTATTATAGGGAAAACAAAAATAGACACAGCCTACCCAAAAGCATGTCGTAAGAGTCGACTAATTGGGAGCTTCCTTCGAAGTCGGAGTGCAACTGCCTTAGAGGCAAGGAACCAACAGTCTGCACACAAATGTTTCAGAACTGTCAAACGGATGCACACACAAAACCCAGGTTTTGGAGCAGGGCTGCAGTCCAGAAGTGGACGAACAACCTAGACTTTCCAGTAGAGTTTACAGCTGGTGAATGCGAAGAAGAAGAAGAAAAGAAACACTTTTAAATTAACCAGTGGTGAGATAAAATTAAAAATAACTTACCACTGGCTGTATAAGTATTCATAACACTGGTCTCAGAAACCATAAAAATACGGCCTCTTTTATGCGCATTTGTTCATCCATATTCCAAAATTTGCTGGCATTCATTACAGCATAAAACAGACAAGGTCCGACGATTAAGTAATGAGACCGATTTTATTATGGACAGGACAAAAATGTCATCTATGAAGCAAAGCATGGAAGCTAAAGAGGCAACATTCACCTATGATATGGCAACGTTTAATCACCGCTCGATAAACAGACAACAAACAAGCTGCCATTTTGTTGACCTTGTCAGAGGTGCATTGTTACGTAATCAGCACAGAGCAAAAAGCTAACATTAAATTCCCCTTTTGAACTCAGAAAAAGCACCACTGAAACAGTTGAATTGATGCAACAAGTTTATGGGGATAATTGTTTATCTCGTGCACAAATTTTCAGGTGGTATTAATGGTTCAAAAATGCTGTGGAAATTATTACTAATGCACCTAGACTCAGGACGCCAAATTTCTTCGTAATGATGAACTAACTCATAGCAAAAGTCAGAGAATGGATACAAGAAGATCATTGTTTTACTGTGAGGATGATGGCAGATGAATCAAGATGAATAGAGAGACTATACATAACATTTTAGAGCAAGATTTTGACAAGAAAAAAGTTGCTTGCCGGTTCGTACCACACTCGCTGTCTGATGATCAAAAACATCAGCAGGTTAAGTACCCAAGAATTTTGGGCAAAAAAAAAGTGTGTGCCTTCCATCCTATTTCTCAGATTTGTCTCCATTGTGATTATTTTCTATACCGGTGTTAGATTGTGCAACTTGCTGATTCAATGCACAAGGGGGCTTACTTTGAATAAAATACAGATAAAATACAGGTTATATCTTCAACTGTTGATTATTTTAATTTTTTTGGAATTATAGTCTCATAACTTTATTGTCAGACCTTGTACAATTCACAACTATCCTTATGGAAGCAATGGTGGCGCAGTGGCTACAAGCTAGCCTGCTGGCCTAAAGGTTCTGTGATCAAATCCACATCACAGTAGGCATAATTTACTCTACTGGGTCAACGCCGCCTTTAATGGACACCAGAAAATGTGGTGGGAAATAAAGATGGCCAACAGGATGTCAACTATATCACAGATTCAGTCTGAGACATCAGTACTCTTAAAGGTTTTCCATTGCCTGTGAAAAAAAAATATTGTGTCTTGAGACACTTTTTTTGTAGGCTTTCCCATTATCTATGAGAAAAGACTGGATCTGTCTGGGACACTTACTTGTAAGTTTTAAAGGTTTCCCATTATCTATGAGAAAAGAGAATCTGTTGCTGTTAATGTAAGGTTTAAAAGCTCTCCCATTATCTATGTGAAAATTCAGACGAAGCTTAGTATGCAATAATTATCTATGAGAAAAGACTGGATCTGTCTGGGACACTTACTTGTAAGTTTTAAAGGTTTCCCATTATCTATGAGAAAAGACTGGATCTGTCTGGGACACTTACTTGTAAGTTTTAAAGGTTTCCCATTATCTATGAGAAAAGACTGGATCTGTCTGGGACACTTACTTGTAAGTTTTAAAGGTTTCCCATTACCTATGAGAAAAGACTGGATCTGTCTGGGACACTTACTTGTAAGTTTTAAGGCTTGAAAAAGACTGGATCTGTCTGGGACACTTAAAAAGTTTTAAAGGTTTCCCATTACCTATGAGAAAAGACTGGATCTGTCAGGACACTTACTTGTATGTTTTAAAGGGTTTCAGGCAGGTCAGTGAGAAAACACTGGATTGTCTGGGACATTACAAAGAATCTATGAGAAAAGACTGGATCTGTCTGGGACACTTACTTGTAAGTTTTAAAGGTTCCCATTATCTATGAGAAAAGACTGGATCTGTCTGGGACACTTACTTGTAAGTTTTAAAGGTTTCCTGGATCTATGAGAAAAAGACCGGATCTGTCTGGGCCACTTACTTGTAAGTTTTAAAATTTCCCCATTATCTATGAGAAAAGACTGGATCTGTCTGGGACACTTACTTGTAAGTTTTAAAGGTTTCCCATCATCTATGAGAAAAGACTGGATCTGTCTGGGACACTTACTTCGTAAGTTTTAAAGGTTTCCCATTATCTATGAGAAAAGACTGGATCTGTCTGGGACACTTACTTGTAAGTTTTAAGGTTTCCATTATCTATGAGAAAAGACTGGATCTGTTAGCCACTTACTTGTAAGTTTTAAAGGTTTCCCCATTATCTATGAGAAAAGGGATCTGTCTGGGACACTTATTGTAAGTTTTAAAGGTTTCCCATTATCTATGAGAAAAGACTGGATCTGTTTGGGACACTTACTTGTAAGTTTTAAAGGTTTCCCATTATCTATGAGAAAAGACTGGATCTGTCTGGGACACTTACTTGTAAGTTTTAAAGGTTTCCCATTATCTATGAGAAAAGACTGGATCTGTCTGGGACACTTACTTGTAAGTTTTAAAGGTTTCCCATTATCTATGAGAAAAGACTGGATCTGTCTGGGACACTTACTTGTAAGTTTTAAAGGTTTCCCATTATCTATGAGAAAAGACTGGATCTGTCTGGGACACTTACTTGTAAGTTTTAAAGGTTTCCCATTATCTATGAGAAAAAGACGCCGCCTGTCTGGGACACTTACTTGTAAAATTAAAGGTTTCCCATTATCTATGAGAAAAGACTGGCTGTCTGGGACACTTACTTGTAAGTTTTAAAGGTTTCCCATTATCTATGAGAAAAGACTGGATCTGTCTGGGACACTTACTTGTAAGTTTTAAAGGTTTCCCATTATCTATGAGAAAAGACTGGATCTGTCTGGGACACTTACTTGTAAGTTTTAAAGGTTTCCCATTATCTATGAGAAAAGACTGGACCTGTCTGGGACACTTACTTGTAAGTTTTAAAGGTTTCCCATTATCTATGAGAACACTGCCCGTTTCATCCCGGCCAAAACTGTTTGCTGACCTCAGTGAGAAGATTCTCTTGCCCTTGGAAGAAGGCAGGGATGCAGAACAGGAAGCTACAGCATCGCTGGGATTACTTTTGCTATCGGGCACGTTTGGCACACTCTCCTGACACGTCACGGTCTCCATCTGTATCACTGGGAAGATAAATGAATGAGTGAATGAATGAATGAATGAATGAGACAGAACTGATATCATTATGGTCAGGACATTCCCACACATGCTGTGACCTTCTCAGTAACCAATAAATAGTTCCCATGGTAATAGTTACAACATGACTAAAAATCCAACTGTCTTTTCCCCCTGCCCGCTTGGGAAGACAAAATGCAAGTTGCCTCTTGTTTAGGATTACCAATTTCCTTATTTAACATATTTGAAACTACATTTTACATGTAACTATAAAACTCAGAAAAATAATACATTAAACATTTATGATCAGTTTACAAAGTCACATTTAAACAATAACTTTTACTATTTTTTTTTAAAAATGAAACCAAACTGACCTTTAAAATCCCATGAAAATGTTATCACAAAATTAATCTTCCTGCTTTCCATTAGTTGTCACTGTCAACGTCTTCATCTTCTTTATTTACCACAAGTGGGTCTCCTAAAATGCTACTGGTAATCTCATATTGTATCCAGATATTTCTTGTTCTTAAAGTCAATCCCGTGTGGAGTTGGTAGTCATACCTATCCTGCAACCTTCTGTCTCATGTACTTTCAATCAACTCTGACACATATGATCCCCCATCCAGCATCTTCTCTCTTGTCTTTCTCTGCCCCCCCCCCCCCCCCCCAACTTTGATACTGTCATGATGTACCCCAGTTTTCCCTTTCACATGACATGATCAAAGAATTTAGTCTCATTCTGATGTGGGCAATCAGTTTTCTTTTAAGTTTTTTTTTACAGTGTCTCATACACAAATTCTCTCTCACACAAACAATTCTTCTCCTGCACATGAATTCACTCTCCCTCTATCTCACACAAATACACATATATATTTACATACTCTCATACACAAACCTTCTCTAGCTTTCATGACCACACACCCAACACGCCTGAATCCCAAATATAGGAAGCTGCTCACCTTGACCGTTGCTAGCCTCCCCTCCCTCACAATCCCCCTCCCAGTTCCCATTGCTGGCACCGAGGGAGGAACTACTGGTCTCTGAGGAGGAATTGTCCTCATCTTCTGAGAGTTCCTCCTGCCAGTCATCTGACTCATCTGGAACTTTCACATAGCGCCTGTATCAACAGAGAAGATATCATAATCATAGTTAATAACATGACTGCAGATGAGCTGATATCAAGAAGTACTAAATAAAACAAAAACTGTGACTGGAAAGTTCAATGAAGGAAATGGATCGATCGATCAGTTTATTTGCTCAGGCCCACACCATAAAGGTTTTCTATACCATCCTGAAATTAAGAAAAATCTTAATCTGGATGGCAGACCAACAAGACAGATCCTGGATACCCTATCTGATCTGTAGAGAAGTTATAGTTAGGGCACCTGTTACAGCCACACCAGCCAGGTATAACCTGCAGTCCTGAGTGGGTACAGATATTATGAAAAAGGAATTGAAAAGACAAAAAAAAAAATATAACAGGCTGTTTCTATGCTCTGCTGTTTTGTAATGCGTTGTATTTATAACTCCATTAATGACTTGGGGGGGTCAAACTATTCATTTGCCCCAGTTTGTTTCCGGCCCCAGTTTGTGTTGTATTTAGTACCTCATTAATAAAGACTTTGGTCAAACTATTATGCTAGTATTTGCACATTTATTTTCCATTCTCTCTGTTGTGCTTTCTAGCTACAGTCTATGTTGTATTTAGTACTCCCTTAATATAGACTTTGGTCAAAATATTTGGTTATATTTGTTTGTGTCTTTTCCATTCCCTCGATTAAGCCTTTTACAAAGTTTAAGACCACCCATTACACAACTGATGTGTTCCATACTGTTACAGAATATTGCATCCATTGCAACCTTAGAGCCACTCAAAGCAAATATTGCCATCATTCTTCTTCTTCTATGTTCATCCTTAGAATTAGAAGGGCGGTTGGCACACTGTGTTCAAGTTTACAACCGGGCTACAATATCCGCAGCTTTTGGCCAATCACACTCGATTTCAGTAAAACCCCACTTAGTTGCTTTTTTCAGCATGCTGGTTGGATGCTGGTTGGGGTGGGGGTGTTTACCCAAAAAAAGGGATTACAGGACCTCACACGAGGAACTTCTCATTCAATTCTCAGAAAATTCTGAAAATTTGAATCAATTTTAATGAGACTGAGTCAGCCTCAGAGTCATTATTTGGGAAACAAAAACCCAGTCTCTGCTTAGGATTGAACTAGAACCTCTGAGTTGGCAGACAAGCATACCGGCCACTATGCCACTGCAGCTCCTCTGAACTCTTTCAGTCTCAGAAAAGTTAGAGTCGACTCCAAAAGGAGGCAAGAACGACAACATCAAACTCATAGAGAGTCAATTCCTTCGAAGTCGGCGTACAGCTGCCCAAGAGGCAGGGAAATGAAAAACGGTTGTACACGCAAAAATCAGGTCCAGGTGAAAGCCAAAAGTCCAAGCGGAAGATTAACCGGGACCTTCCACTGGAATTCACAGCCGGTGTTCGATGAAAAAAAAAGAAAAAACAATAGAGAGTCTACTTTGGCAGCCGCCAAATACACACTTCCTCCTCTTTCCTGCTCTACCTTTCAGCGTCAGGCATTGGGTTCTCACTGTACCTAATGAGAGTGTGAAAACCAACAAAGAGGGGTGAATTCAACAGAGAAGAGCATTTAAAAAAAAAAAAACTTCCAACAAAAAGACAAGTTAACAATGGCATGACGCCTGGGAAGTGAAGACAGCCGGTGAGATGCTTACCATATCACCGACCAAGTGCTGACTGGTATATCAAATACAGGTCTACCCTCATGTGCCCAATACGCCTGAAGGCGTGAAAAAACGGGTCCTTTTCATTATGTTCGAGCCTTGGTATGTGCTACGCAGATACTGATATTTACAGCCTCAGAAATACACACTCCAAGTAGGAAACAGAAAATCAATGGTACTAGATCAAAGTCACCTATGTACCCTGTTAGTGGTTTTTACCTAAGTGAATTTTCAAGGGTGTTATATGTCCCTTTACAATATGCCAAAGGTTCATTTGTGAATTTCTACTCCAGACAGGTTTTCCTGAAGTATTACTTATCAAGCAACTACACAGTTCTTATTTGCCACAATGCCAAAGTGATATGTTTAAACATGATTTTCTTGAAAAAGGATTTAGCAATTACCGTATTTTTCAATAGGCATAAGACGCTCTGTAACAACCAATGACCATAAATAACCAAACACTTGAAAATGTAGAACATTTCACATATCTTGGTAGTGTGGTGTCTTTACTGGGAGGGACAGAGTAAGACATACAGTCATGCCTGAACAAAGCTAAAGCTGCTTTCGGAAGGATGAGACAAATCTGAAAATCCAACAGTTACTGCAGAGAAACAAAACTTTGACTCTACAAAAGCATCATTTTGCCAGTTCTTTATGGAGCGGAATGCTGGAGAATGACCAAAAATTATGCACACAAGCTATCCATCTTCCACCACACATGTCTGCGTAGAATTATCCAAATGTTCTGGCCAGATACAATCTCAAACACTAAACTGCTTTAAGTCACAAACCAAGAGACTAGACAGTATGATAACCCAGAAAAGATGGAAATGGTTTGACCACGTTATGAGAATGAATCCTGATATGACTGTGAAAACAGCCCTCACATGGATACCAGAGGGAAAGAGAAAAAAGGGGCGCCCAAAAACAACATGGAGACGAACGATGGAGAGTGACCTGAATGCGGCATCTCTGACATGGAAAACTGCATTGAAGATTGCACAGGACAGTAGAGAAAGGAAAGTCCTCTCTGACGCCTCATGTGCCACTAGGCATAAAGAGAATTGATAAGACACTCTAAATTAGCGGCTCTCAACCTTTCTAATGCTGCGACCCATTAATACAGTTTCCTCATGTTGTGGCGACGCACAAACAATTATTTTCCTTCGTAACCTCAATGAATATGTGTTTTCCGATGGTCTTAGGTGACCCATGTGAAAGGGTCGTTTGACCCCAAAAAGAGTCATGACTGGCAGGTTGAGAAATGCTGTTCTAAAGGATAAGACAACTCCCGTTATTTTTTTGTTAGCCCAAAATTAAGAAATAAACATATTTATCACATTCCATGTATATGACCACCCTCAGCTTTAAACTTCAAAATTTGGGAAAACATACTGTCTTTCACCGAAAAAAATACGGGAGATGACTTTGGTGTAGGGGCAATATGTTCTTGGACTGATTTTTGTATGTTATAACTAAACGTAGGATGTAAAATATAAACGACTAACTGGCACGTATGAATAATATCCAGTCATAAGTTGTGCACCATTTAGTACTGAAAGAGGTAAACAATATACGTGCCTTATCAACTTTACTGTTACCTTCTAACATAATCTTGTGAAAGTAAATAAAATACATACGCCATTCGTTGCAACAACAGCTGGTACAATTTTTCATATGTGCAGTTAGCTCTTGGAACTGCCAGCAGCAGTGGGTGACCAAACAAGGGTTGGCTGGACACTGAGTTTTGATCTGAGTGCCGATTGCTGTATCTAGTGAGAGTGTGGAAACAAAGAAAGGGGTCATTCAACAGAGATTCATGAAACAATTAGGCATGAACAATTATCCAATAAAAAAGTTAACAAATACTCATGACATCATTAATCTGTTATCATGTGGCTTTACCAGGCAATTTTATGTCAATTGTATTTTAAATAAACATGTGTTGATCAGTACTCATTCACAAATTGCTAATGAATACACTTTTTTAGAGGTGCCTAGTGGTCATGAATCTTGGTACACTTGACTCTGCAGTGAGGCGCTGTCGTCATCTTGAGGTGATGACAGGTTTGATTTCTGGCATGGTAACCAAAGTTTTTCTTGTCTAGTGCAGGGTTTCTCAAACTTTTCTCGCCGTGGCACCCGTGTCATGCACACACAAAAATACATTTTTTTTGGGTGCATCACACCTACCCTTAAAACAATTTGAATACTTAGGCAAAGAAGCAAAAAAAAAAAAAAAACAGTGCCAGTTTAATGTTCAGTTGTCTTTAATGCAATGAATGCAACTGCTTGGATGCATTTTTCATTATTTTCTTTGAGTTTATGCAAAGTTTAGTTAACTGTACCCTCAAATCACTTGAAGGTTGCCCCTGTTTCTGTTTTTTTTTTTTTAATAAAAAATTTTTTTTATGTAAGCCTTGCCAATAGCATTATTTTCAGAATACACCTGCATCCAGAATTCTTCTTGGCTTCCTTAATTGTATTTCGGTTTTAAACTGCTGTCTTCGCTGATCTCAAGCAGATTTTGATAAAATTCTTGATTACTGCCGTGGCACTCCTGGGGGCCGCACATCCAGTTTGAGAACTGCTGGTCTAGCGTGTCCTTCTATCTTTCTACTTCTTTTTACGAGAACCGATCAATGCCTGCCACAAAACTGCACATGGTTTCCCAGTCTATAAAATTATGTGTAATTTCACATACAATCAATCAAGTTACTGACTTTTTGTCTCGGAAGTAAATGGGCAGGATCATGATGTTGGGATCTTCGACATCAGTGATTGGAATCTCATACCTGCAAGCAGAGAACACAATCGTTGGCTGATAAAACAGTATTGTAAATACTAAATAACACTAAGCAGAGAACACAATCGTTTGCTGATAAAACAGTATTGTAAATACTAAATAACACTATCTGGTATTCTTCTTCTTCGCGTTCACCAGCTGTAAACTCAGGTGGGAAGTTCTGGTTTTTCGTCCACCTCTGGACTGCAGTCCTGTTCCACAACCTGAGTGTTGCATGTGCATCCATTTGACAGATCTGACATATCTGTGTGCAGACTGTTGGTTCCTTGCCTCTCAGGCAGTATCTGGTATTAATTTAACAAACAAAAAAATCAAGTTGAACCACCTAAAGTGTTTATAAGTTTCTCAACCATTGCCTGTGCAAGAAGAAAAGAACTAAAATAGTTTGACAGATCCACTTGTAATCATCAAGTTGATGACATCATGTGTGCTGAACTTTGGGTAACACTGGATAAACTGTACTCAATATTGTCCGTTAGTTGAGGCAGTGTCCAGACCATCAGTTCATCCAGTATCACCATCAAATCGATGAGTGTTGCCTGGAGTAACCAAGATAGAAGGACAGCCGATCCACTTTGCCATTGAGGAGTGACCTACTTCAGCTTCATCATAACAATGTACTCCGGAATCAGGCAGAATCTACTGCTGAATCTCCAAAAACATTCTTCAAACGTTCATGGTTCATGTACTAGGGTCTCGCTTCAGCATTGAGGAATTCTATGACATTACGCTGTTTTAACCAAATGCCTTTCATAGCTATTTTTAAAACCGTTACAGTGTCACTGAAAAAGGGTAATAATGCTATAGAGTGCTCGATTTACAAATAGCACACAGACACAGAACTTACACTGATAAAAAAAATAATTGGAGGCATTAGTTTTTGATCGTCCCTCATATGTTCAGTAGTTTGTCACTACTTTCTCAAACTGAACTCCCAGTCCCCAAACCACAGACCTTGAGGGTGAAAGGATTGAAAAATAAATCAAATCAACTTACACAAAGATGTCATCTCTGTCCAGTATGTGGTTGACCCCCTCGTCCATACCAAAGATTTTGTGAAATCTGTGGTTATATACGTCTGTGACCACCATCTGCAATATGGAAACAGTCAAACATGCCTTAAGCTTATCAGGTATATGATGTTACACCCATATTTGTGAGAGACCAACAGACACTCAATGAGCCATGTGGACAGCTACACATCCAGCAACCTTTGCTTTCCTCAAAAATCTTTACGGGTACTCAATTTAGACCGAGTCTACCATGGAGCACAGACTAAATGTTCCGAACCCGTGACCATTAGGTCGGCCGTAAGTGTGCAAGCCACTGCAGCTTCCCCTGAACCTCTCTACTGCATGTACTTGTCAGTTTTAGGGCGTTGTGGGAGAGAGAGTCGCAAGCCTAAGGACTTAAAGCTGTCCCTTAGCTAGTGCCATCGCCATGAACTGTGCAGGCAGGAATTTTTATTTTCACATCCGGCAGAAAATAATCCATCCCTTACCAAGAACGGAACCCGAGTCTCCCGCTTGAGAGACCAGCGCTCTAACCAATGCACCCCTCACATGAATCAATTATTTCAAACGAAACACATTTTGTGATTTGCTCACGCTGATCAGCAATATATACATGATCGATAATAGTAAGTAAAACTAAGATGTTTTTCATTAAAGTGAGTTGTCAGAATTCAAACAGCGAAGACTCAGCCCTCTAAAAATCGGATGAACGGGAACAGTATATACAAATGTTATGGGAGAAAGTACTGGGATATGGGGGAAAAGAAGAGGCAGGAAAAGAAAATTAAAAAAAACAAATACATAGGAAGAGGAAAAGAAGAAGCAAATACTTATAATTACTGATTTTATTGCCTGTATTTATCATTTTTTTAGCTTTGTGTAGCACAGGGACATTCTAGACCTGAGGATTTAGAGGGACACAACTAGTGGCAGTCTTCACAAATTGTGCAGGCGAGTGTTTTTTCCCCCTAAAAATTTCAACAGGAAAGAAAAACTCCCATCACCTTATCAAGCTCCAGAACGAGATCCCAGCATTTTAACCATTGCTCATAATTATTAGGGTTTAACATAGCATGAAGAGGGTGGTCTAGTGAGGATAAGACAAGACTAGAGAAACACTGATCAAAATGTAAACTTACCCGATCTGGTGGGACATCTACTAGAGATGACAAGGCTGTACACAAATCACGAATGCTGCCTGCCTTAGGCACTGTTAATTTCAGCTGCAAGTGATACAAAAATATTTATTTAAAAAAAAAAAAAAAAAAAAAGATCAGTTACAGGCTGCAAGTTACACAAATATGATTAAATTGCTCAAAATAGACAGATCAGTTACAGGCTACAAGTGACACAAAAAAGATTACATTTTTATAAACAGAAAGATCAGTTACAGTTTAAAAAAAACTTTTTTGGGGTGCTTAGTCAGGTATGAGTGCGCTCAAATGGCTAGATTATAAATCTCACCATAATGCAGCAGGTCCTTTACAGAAAGAACATCACCACAGCCTGTGTCTTGAATGTTCTGAGCCCATCTTCATGTTGGCTGTTTCTGAGACACATGTGTTTACAAGCCAATCTTCCTTGATATTTATCATCTTCTTGTGCCATGGTTTTCTGAGTGTTGAGTTGACTCAAGAATCGACATCACAGCACTCAGGGCATTCCCATAAGCGCTCCATCCCTATCTTCACTGGCCAGCTAAGAGTTCCAATACCAATTGTGCCAACAGAATTCTGATTATACAATCATCTTGGCTTTCCTCTGAGCGTCGAGTATCGACCAGAACCCTTCGTCACTACCCACTGCGGTGACCTATTTGCACCTCCAATTTGTACACATTTTCCCACAGCGCCCTAACCACGTCTGCCTTATCATGTATCAGCATTCCACCAAGTTGTGCAGTGTCCGCCAGTCTGTCAGCCTGTTAGTTTCCCAGCACCCCAGAGAAAAAAAATCCAGACAATGCTCCTCACCCCTGACCTCCAAAGCGAGGAATGCCACTCTGCACGAAGCACACCAGTCCTCACCTTCCTCAGCATGCTTTCCCAGGCTGTTACAATCATGACGTTTGTGTACGTCATGCTCTCCAGCCAGCGAAAAGGTTGCAGTGACAAACTCCATCTCCATTCTGAGAATTTTCGGTTAGCGTTTCAGCTCAAAAACCTCTATTTTCTTCATTCATGATTGCAAGACAGTCCACGAATGCTACAGGAAATATGCATGCTGTCGAAACGTGGGCTTTGATTTTCTTGCTGGTGCTTTGCCAGACTTTTAACGTTTAAGCTTTGCATGTCATGGACATCCTCTTTTTAACTTCACAAAAGTTTTTTTTCAGTTTTCTTTAAATTCAGGAAACAGATTTGAATTTCTGTGTTACAAACCTAAGAAATGTTTATTATTATTAGCACGTGTGGTAGAATTAAATAAAGCAAGCATGCACATGTGTTGCCAGGAGATTTTGCCATGGGTATTCAGATATGTAACCTTATTTTGGTGAGACAATGGACACAGTCAGTGAAAAACTTGAAAATACTGTGACGTCAATTTTTGTGCGTTTTTGAATTAACTAACGACGACAGATAACATCAAGAGAAAGTCTGAAAGTGTGTACATCCAGGGTTAAAGACAGCGTCTGGAGTGCAGCCAATTTTTGTAGTGAAGAGGGCACCTGACTGCAACGATTCTGTTTCTCTAATAGGCCCCAAAATGACAAGTTGGGCTAACACTAAACAAATGTACAGTGTGTTCCCTAAGCTTCCATACATATGCAAAGTAAGCGTTTCACCAATGCTGTTGCAAACATAACATCAGCTGTACTTATACACCCTCAGCAGTGGAGGACATGCATCAAAATGTGTTTTTTAAAACAATGATGCTCATGTAGAGCATATGTAAATAAAAATGGTCTTCATACATTTTATTGTTATGTTTCCTATAACAGAAAGCAACTGTGAAATATGCTGTCTCCGTAAGGTCACTAACAACACAAAGGGACAGGGTTACAAATATTAGTGTCTGAATTATATTGACAAAGAAAGAATGAAATGGTTCGTCTATCTGTTGAAAATGCAGCCAGACCAAACTGTATACAAGATTTATTTTTAAAAAGCAGAACATCTGGGAGGTCAGGCAAGAGGAAGACCAAGAAAGAGAGGGATGATTGGCGTAGGTTAAACCTGCCAAAAAAAAAAAAATCGAATCCATCACCCTAGCCACACGAGAAGCGCAGGATGAGTGCAGAAAACCACGACTCTGGGCTACAACCTAGTTACAGTGAGACGACAAAAGAAGAAGAGGATGAAAACATGGAGCACCCTAAAACTTACCTGCATAGGTTTCTTATCTGCAGGCAGAGGGATCCAGAACACCTCCATCTGTCTCTCCTTCTTGATAGGCAACGGCAGTGAGAGGTAACAGAATGGGTCAAAGGTGACAGAAATCAGTTTACAGTCAGGACACTGCACTGTCGATTTCAGAAGGCCATGAAAGATGTCAACAATGATGGAGTCATTTCTCTTCTTGTAGTTATCCCAGGCTTCTTTGGCGACTTCCTTTAAGCAGAAACATGCAATTTTTAAAATGGTGCAAGTGACTACAACAACGTACACATTTCAAGAATGACAACAAACAAAACGGTTGCACGCATGCACTCTCTTGCAAAGCAACAGTAATGTTTAAGAGCCTGAACAAAATATGGAGCTTTATTTAGTTTTAAAACCAAGTTGTATATTTTCAATTCTAATGTTATTTTTATTTTAACGTGGGCCAGTAAAAGTTGGAGAACTAATAAAGACATAGAATGTTAAAAACATTCAAAATCAAATGCCTGAGGAAACTGTTGGACTTTAAATGTAAAAAATTCAAGAAAGGCAGGGAAATAGGAGACAAATCTGGACACAACCACTTGATTTAATGGTTGTAAGATAAAGAAGATGGCGCTAATTTGAGTACATCCTGTGAAAAAGCAAGCAGAGAATCACAGAAACGGGAAACAAAATGGAAAACAAATAGGAAAAAAAAAAAATTGGAACACTCAAGAAAACCTCTAAACCGAATGATGATGAGACAGGCCAAAGGTGCTGGACTGAATCTGATTGATGAACTCAAAAGGACTGCACAGGATGGAAGGGAATGAAGGACTAGACTGAGCCATTTGTGACAGATTTATGTTACTGGTTTAAGAAATGACACCACAGCACACCAGGAATACCTGCGAATGATCTTTCTGTCCTAAGAAAGTGAGTTCCAGTACCACGCTGACTGAAGACATCTTTCTCTCATCTTTTGTTGTTGTTGCCGCCGGGTCCACATTTAATTCCAAAAGAGACTAAGGCATTAATATAATCTAGTATCCAAGAAAAGCTGGCCGGATACACAAATAAATTGTTTTCCTCAAGACTGTCTTCATCGCCTCTCTCTAGAGCAGTGACCTCCAACCTGGGCGCGAGAGGTTTCAAGGCGGCGGCAACCATTTGTTTTTAAAACTCAATGCATTTGTACTTGTTATAACCTGTTTGCTACAATTTTTTTCAGTTTAATTATTTAAAAAAAAAAAAGAATTACAGCTTTTTATAAAATAAAAAGCCAAGGATGGTTTTGTGTCATGAGTAGTTTGTACGTGTACCAGTATAAATGTAATTAATATGATAATACGTGCATTTAATTATAGATCAAAAACAAATACTGACCAAAATGTATCTCCACACCTTCTATTTCTCTTGTTGCGGAAACCTATTGTCCTACTCTTTTTAATCACATTTCGTTTTATTGGGGCAAAGAGGGTGGGGACGGGTATAGGGGTCTTGTCATATACTAAAAGTTTGGGGGGGGGGGGGGGGGGGGGGGGGGGTGAGGGCCTTGCAATATACTCAAGGGTGGGATATACCCTAGAGGGTGTGAAGATCTTACCATATACTGACTGACAAAGGTTGGAGACCAATGCTCTAGACAGGGACAGTGCGTTTCTTATATTCAGGCTAAGGTCAGGGCACAGCAGACTTCACACTTTTCGGTGTAGGAAACACTGAGATGTGTGCCTGCAACTTGGCACCAGAAATAGCTGAGCATGTGCTCCAACACTGTCAACTGCATGCTGCCAACAGAGATGCAATGTGGCCTGTTCAAATGACAATGAACCACAAAGTAGTATGGTACACAAGAAAGATATGGACTGCACAATATCTTTCTCAAAAGGCTACTGGCCTCCTGTGAAATGATTTCTGACAGAAGGATTGTAGAAGAAAACACGTTATTTCAACTAATATTATTATTTGTTCATTAATGGTCTTCAGAAAATCTAACTTTGTCAAAACATAGTGTTTTTTGTGTGTCTGTATATCCACAGCTCTTGCGAATTTTAATTAGGGACTGAAAATTCAAATAAGAACTGGTGCAGGTCAAACAGACAAACCTTATCAGGTCTTCCACCAGAATCTTTGAGTTCAATGTAAGGCTTTTTCCTAATTCGATTCAGATCCTCATGTAGTCCATCCAACAAAAATGCCATCAACTCTTGAGAATCCTGCTGCTGGTAGCCCGAGAACTGAGGAGCAAATCTGCCCACTGCAATCTGGTCAATATCAAAGTATTATATCGTTAATAAAATACACAAACTTTTCACTGTCTGTAGCAATTTCATCAATATTAAACTACAATGTTCGTTAATTGCACATACAAATCCTTTGCTGGTACTGCAGTGCATCTTCTTCCTTTTACCCAAGCTATTTGGCATTGGTTGTCATGTCTGTTTAAAGCCTGCTGGCTTGTGTACTGTTTATGGCCAAGATGTGAGATCTGCACCATACTGCCCAACAAATCTGATTTCAGTAAATCCTCAGTCACCTTCTGCCAGATACCTGTAAAGGAGCAGTGGGTCTATCCCCCACCATCAACTTGTTCAATGTGGAACTACAACTTCTGCCTTTATCTGCCAAAGAAGCATAAGTTGTTCAATTTTGTCATCCTATCCTATGTTACTGTACGCAGCTCATCCCCCCCCCCCCCAAGCTCCCTTTCCCACTTTTTTTTAAAGTCTGCCTTTACTTCTATGCCTGTGTGGGTTTTCCGGAGTAAAGACGTTCTAGGTATATTGTTCTCAGGTTTTCTCAATATCTGTCCTATCCAACACCAGCGTCCTTTCTTCACCTCTTTGTCTACTGAAACTTGTTTAGTTTTCTCCCAAAGCTCAACATCAATGATCCATCACACTGTTTAATCCCCTCTTTATTCTGCACAGACACCCCTTAATAAATGACTGTAGTTTATTAGCAATTGTTTCAATCATTCATGCTTAGCCTGTACACAACAGTACTGATCTGACATTAGAACTAAATATTTTAAGTTTATTACTAGGCAGTTTTGAACCTCAGACCTCCGAACCAGCTATTTAAGCAAGCACTAGGCCATTAAGTTACTGTGGGTTCAATATAACCCCTAGCTTAGAAACAAACAATGTAGACAATCTATCTCGTTAGCAAGACTCAAACAAACCTTAAAATTCCGAGGCACGGTGTAGCTCTTCTGGCCCAACCATATATCTCTTATGAGCTCGTTGTAAGAAATGGCAATCTCACCCCTCATGCCAAGAGGGTTTTCTTTGTTGAGTTCTTTCTCCCACTGATTGCTCAGCATGTACTCTGTCAATGGGCTAACGTTGCTCATACACTAGACAAGAGAGAGCATTATGTTAAAACAGGTATACTTTTTTTCAGGCAATAGTACAGCATAAAATACTGAATGAACAAATGAATCAAGAACTGACATCCCTGCACTCAGGACATCCTCAGTGTGCTCCCTCTCCTTCCTAAGTAGCCAATGTAGAGTCCCCATGCTAACAGTGCTAGATGAAACCTAATCAAAAGTCCACCAGTTTTCCCCTCAGTGTTAAATATCATTCAGAATCTTTACTCACCTCCACTGAATTAGTCTTTTAAGGTACGGATACTCTGTTTTGTTGCACTGCCCACCTGATCCCACAGAACTTCACCACGTCAGCTTTATCATAACAAAGTTCATTGCCAAGAGAAGCAGCAGCCACCGATCCATCATCCTGTTCATTTTACTTATACCAGCACAGCTTGCACCTTTGCTTGTTGGCCTGACAGTCATATGTTCTGATCCCAATAAAGACTTTAAAAAAATCAACTTAGGCTTTCATACTGACTAGCTGTAATGATTACCATGAATTGTCATGGGAAGTAAAACTGGTTGTCCGGTAACTAGTATATCACCACTGAGTATCAGCTGGTGCATAAAATCTGATACTAGCACTATATCATTAGATCTGGCTGCTTCTGTGTTCGCCAATACAAGGACGTTTACCATGTTATATTGTGGTTTACAGCTAGGCTGCAATATCTGTGCCTCTTGGCCCCAAAAATCAGATTTTGGTAAACCCTTAACCAGTCGCTCTTTAAGAACATGCTTGCCCTGGAATGTGCACATGTATAATGGATTGACCTGACTCAAGTGGCCTAGACCACAGTTTTGAATGGCTAATAACAGAATTATCTGGTGTGGGATGTAGAAAAGGATGAGCTGATGGATGTATAGTGTGCTCTTAGGCCCCACAAATCAGATTTGGTGACCTTTTCTTAATAGAAATGTTTTCATGCTTTTTTCCTGGGCAGTCGAAGTGAGTGATTTACTGGTATTGCCAGAACCCATAAATAGCAGTGTGCAAAATGTCAAAACTTCAGGCTATTAATATACGTTGTATAATGCATGACCTGACTCAAGTGGCCTACCAACAAGTTTTGAGAGAATGGCTATGAACAGAATAAGTATCTGTGTGGATGTAGAAAAGGAGGAGTTGTGAGGGGAAGAGGGATGGATATATATATATATATATCATCAACATCCTTTGTGTGCTGTTAGAAGTCACACAAGGCTCACATTCAATTCCTCCACTCCGCTCTATTGTATGCAACTTTCTCAATCTCTGACACGCAGTTCAGCCCAGCAATTTTTGCCTGTCATAATAATGTTCTTGTAAATGTTATCCACAAAGTTGAACCCCCTCTTTTCCTCAGTTTCCGTCCTGATAAACGTTGTGAGGTTAAAGTCCGGCAATGTCCTTGGGTTTCGTAGTTCTTGGATGCAGTCGATTCCCCTGCCTGCTATTTGTCCAGACATATCTGATCTCTACCCAATCAATGCCAGTATCTCGCCCCAAAAAACACACAAAACAATGGCCACATGAACATTTTTTTCGGAGTACATTACCTTAAACAAAAATCAGGCTACTCCAAACAACAAGACTTGTTTCACTCCAGTTTCCACCAGAAACCATCAATCAGACCATTTTCAGTGTGTTTGTGTGTATAGAGAAAGAGATAGAGAGGGACAGAGACAGACAGACAGAGAGAGAGAGAGAGAGAGAGAGAGAGAGAGAGAGAGAGAGAGAGAGAGAGAGAGAGAGAGAGAGAGAGAGAGAGAGATAGAGAGAGAGAGACAGAGAGACAGACAGAGAGAATAGTAAGATCCACTGGACAATGCTGAAAAAAGTCATACACATGGGATGGAATGTCCCATTGGCATTCCTGTTACAATTCAGTACCTGAAGAGCCGAGTTCATGAAACAGGTGTTTCCTAAATTTGCCAGACCACACAGTCCTGGCTTGCAGCTGCTGCTGCGGTCATAGCCATTGCTGTTGTAGTATCCACCGCCGCTGGTGCTGCTGTAACCACTGATGCTAGTGCCCGGGCTATTTGAGTCCTGGTTTGAGGAGGCACTGGCTCCTGTGTACCCAGAACCTCTATAAAAGACAGCAGACAGTTAAGTAAGAACATTGTCAACATTTCAATGTTTATAATAACAAAGTTATCAGGTCCACTACCTTCTCCGCATGTATGAAGAGGGGTGCGGTGTGTCATCACTGAGGGGAGTGACACAAGGGCAAGAATATGAATGTGTATAATTTGTTCAGAATATGTGTGTCTGTGTGCATTATTTGTTGATTTATAACTAATCTAACTGTCCTCTGGCATTGGAAAAGGAAAGATAAAAGTATATAAAATAATTCCCTATAATTATTACAATCATGTGAATAATATATACACACACACACACACACATATTTATACAATTTTATTTGGGAGCCGAAATAGTGAAGCGGCTAGACGCTCACCTGCGGATCGGAAGGTCATGGGTTCGGGTCCTGGCGTAGCCGGACTTTGTAAAAAAAAAACACAATTTTTCTTCCCAAAACAAAAAAAAAAAAGGATAATTCCCAGTGTTTGTAACAAATATTTAGTAATTGATGCTTAAAATGACCTGTCGAAGTGTGGCTGATTGAAACAATGTATGAAAGCAGTGAGGTCAAAGGGCAGATTGTCAGACTATCCAGCTTGCCAAATTTCTTAACTCTCTGAAAATAAATTTGTTTCCCTTTTAGCTTCCCCAATAATGCCCAGATAAAGGTCAACTTTACAATACCTATATTAATAATTTTATTATTAACACATGCCATACCAACCAAATGATTACAACAATCAACCACCTCTCTTTAAGTGTGTCCGAATTCCCGAAGATCCACAGGTGTTATTCATTCCCTATTGCAACCTTGAAAAAAAAAACTAACCTGGACCAACACTGCCTCAAAGAAAGCAGAGAGACTAGACAGGCACTCTAACTGTGGCAAAAACTTTTATTCTACCAGTGATGCATTGGGGGCCACGGTAGTGTAGCAGCTAGAAGCTGGGCTGCTAGTCCCAATAGTTATGGGTTCAGCCCAATCCAAGTATGAGTCTGATTTGTTTTTTAATGACCTTGGCTCTCAGGATGACCAATCCTAAAATAGGTACCAGGTAAAGAATTAGTAAATAAATAGTGGTCTTTATGATGCTGACCACAACATTTATCAAGTGCTGATAGGTCTTCACAATAAGCAATATAGCATGATATGCCTGATGTGACACTGCTGTGAAAGGGGTCTTTTACTGAGTGATGCTTTATATTGAAATATAAACCTCAATGTCTTTTTGAGGGAACCTCAATGTCTTCTTGAGGAAACCTAAATGTCTTCTTGAGGAAATCTCAATGTCTTCTTGAGGGAACCTCAATGTCTTCTTGAGGAAATCTCAATGTCTTCTTGAGGGAACCTCAATGTCTTCTTGAGGAAACCTCAATGTCTTCTTGAGGGAACCTCAATGTCTTCTTGAGGAAACCTCAATGAATGTCTTCTTGAGGAAACCTCAGTGTCTTCTTGAGGAACTGAATAAAACACTTGTTTATTCTAGTAGAAAATAATCACAAGAGGAAAGATCTACCAAACAAATAACTACAGGAAGAATGGCCTTACAAGTGAAATGTATGAAAATACCCACTCCCAACCCTAGTCTAAAGCTAAGGTAATAAACAATTACAACACAATAAAAAGCTTCAATGGCTATTATATACATCTGCAGCCACAAGTTTAAGATCACCATGTAAATAATTGATTTGCCCATACTGTTAGAGCATTCATTGCTAGTTTAGGGCCCACTGCAGCCCTCATTCTGACCTAAAATAAATAGCAGCTGCTGCAACACTTCGTAAATGTGTGGAAATAACTTTTTAATTGATGGTATTATACTTTTTTGCCACAACTGTATAACCACATATATAGGAATTGACCTTTCCCATGGCCCCACAATATGTTTCACAAACTGAAGGAAGAGAAATGGCAAGAAATGGAGAGGGAGTCAGAGAAAGAAAGAGACACAAAGACAGTGAGAGTAGTAACCAAATAAACAATTAAAAAGAGAGGTGGGGGAATTGTTCTTAATAAAATTGGCAGTTGTATTCATCTTGAAATATTAATGACACTCAGTGCTAAAAGTAGAGCACAGTTTTTTTTTTTAAGTAAAGGTTCGACCTCACCCCTCTGAGCATCATAAACATGTAATCCTGTACGTGTGTACACACACACAATGCTTTAGGTAAGTACCTACTAACTTTATAACAATTTAAAAAAAAAAGTATAAAACATTCTTTTTCTCTTAACAAAATGGGTGATCACTCTAAATAGCATGTAGAAGCCCTGTTAAAAAGAACGACATAAAAATTGAACATATGCCAACTATGGGCTTGCAGGAGTTAATCAATCAATCAATATATACATCCAGCCACCAATCATTATACCCGCCTCCCATGAAAGAATATTTTAATGTAAAACTATAGCTGATTACATGTGAGGATGTAAATAAGAATCCAGCTGATTTCTAAAGTAACTAAGTACAAAACAAACCGTGAATAGTACTTTTCATAACAGCTTTTCCTGTTCATTATTTTTTTGGGTACACATTTCAGATTATGTGGTGACTTTGTTTAATCAGTCTGTTGTTTTGTCTGCTGATAAAGATAAATTTCTGATTGTATCTGTACATGACTTTCCCTAAACTGAGTTTTCTATTACAGTATGTTTTGTGTTTACTTACTTCGGGTAACACATGGCCAAGCAAAGAATTTATATCTAAACCATAAAAGAGCCTACCTAGGAATACAGGTGCTGGAAACAAGTACAAGGCACACAAAGTCAGGTAACAAGAAACTTAGCCAGCAAATTCAAAAGATGTCAGTGAAATAACTTAGTCAACACGTGTATCTAAACAAAAAAATATTAAATGACTTATGTACAACTGTTATTAAAAAGTCTAGTAGTTACGGTGTCACAGCGCCTGGATACCTGCCTGCTGGTGGGGTACTGGATTAAAAACCTTTTTTTTTAATGGTGGCATCCAAGTCGACCATACTAAAATGGGTATGATGTAAAGTCCTGGGAAGTAAAGGTGGCAGGTATGATGCTGACCACATCACCATCAAACGCTAATTGGTCTACAAAAATATGAGTCTAGTTTCATATGTAGAATATGCATAAGCAACTGGCATGAAAAAGGGTCAATTACTTTATTTAATAAACACTATGATTTACATACACAAACCCTATAATGTCAAAAGCTCTTAAATGTACGCTTGAAACAGTATGCACATTTTTTTTCCAGAAATTATATATCAATTAACTGACTCCCAATCAACTCTACAACTTAAACATCACCCATTTATATTAACAAACATGCCATAACAGCGAACAGAAACATTCGGGAAAAAAAAAACCAAAAAAAAAACTTTCCTGATAACTGCAAAAAAACTTTCCTGATAACTGTAAAACAGTAACAGATCAAGATTAATCTTCTTCTTCTTAATGTTCACTAGCTGTAAACTTAGGTGGAAAGTTTTGGTTGTTCGTCCACTTCTGGACTTTAGTCTTGTTCCAGAAGTTGAGTTTTGTGTGCGCATGCATTTTACACGGTCTGGCTTATTTGTATGCAGACGGCTGGCTCCTCACCTCTCAGGCAGATGTACTCTGACTTCAATGAAAACACCTCATTAGTCAACTTTGATAACACGCTTGTTAGGGATGGGCAGTGCATTTATCCCCCCCCCCCCCCCCAATCCCAAATTGGGGTCCAAACAGGGAAAGATTAATATAATAAGAAATTGTAAAAAGATGAGTCTATGTAAATAACGTTTTCAATTATCTATTTGTGACATACTCAAGAATATACTCTTCTTCTTTGTTTACCGTCCGTAAGCTCCGGTGGAAAGTCCTGGTTGTTCGCAAGGGACAAGTTTTGCTTGTACATCCGTTTTACTGACTTTGTGTGCAGTTGTGCCTGTTCCTTGCTGCTTGAGCAGATGCACCCCCCCCCCCCCCCCATAGTCAACTCCTACGACATGCTTGCTGGGGATGCATTGTGTCTATCCCCCATCTCCCCCTCCCCCCCATGGGGTCCTGAACCCGCAAGGGATTAAAAAAACATACAAGAGCTGCCTCAGTGCTCCTGCTAGCACTTCAGCCGATTAACTCTTTCAGTATCAAACAACTGATTATATGTTTCTTGGTAACAGACAGCATGATGATCTTGCTCTCTCCTGTCACAGACAAGTATTACATTAACCCCTGTAGCTGAATTAATAATTTAACTACATACATCCCACACGGCCTTTTTGAGCCATGAAGTTCTGACTGCTATTCAAACTGTTCTGGGACATAATTATTGGTTAAAACAGCAAACTGTGTGGGACTGAAAGAGTTAAAAACTATAATGGAATCTATAAAGTTAGTGTTGTAGCAAAAGCAGAGAAGTTTACATATCAACCCATCTACGATACAAGAATAATGATGACACACAGGCTGCCCCACTGTAATTCAACCTGCTATGAAAAGAATCGGTTATAATTTTACCTGAGTGTGGTTGTGAGGGTGGAGAGGTAAGTTCCAGAACTGATGTAGTATTTATAAAAAAAAAATGTTTAGAAACATGGCAAACATTACAGATGAATGCATTACTGTAGTCTTAGCAGTATGAATCCTGTCTAATCGTAACACTGCTATTGACCTAGAAATGTGTATTCAGTTATTTTATGGTAAAAGGCAAAGACAAGACAGCCTCTTAGATACTGAAATTGCTGTGTAAAGTGGTAAGTCAGGGTTGAGAGTTCTGCCCTTTAGTTGTAGGTTCGTGGTCAGGCCGGGGCTGCCAGGGTCACACATGAGATGGGTCTGCCAGTACCCCAGCTTAAATTTCCAGGCCATACATTAGCGCAAACCAGAAGTGTAGTGGTTGGACGCTACTCTGCAAGTCCACAGGTGAGGTTTGCAGCTGCATCAAGTCAGAAAAAAAGTGACATTGCTTCCCAGGTCAACCCAGTCTAAAATGGGTACCACATGATGTCCTGAGAAGTAAAGGCGGCCAGTATGATGCCAGTATGATGCTGACCGCAACACCCTTTAAGTGCTGACTGGTCTACAACCACTACTCCCCCCCCAAAAAAAAACCAAATATGTCAAGCCTCATATGCACGATAGCACTACCTGATATGATGGTAGTCTTACACTACATCCCGATTCCTCCATCTCACCAAAATGCATGTAACCACTGCGGTTGGTAAGGAATTCCTTGTGTCATCACAGATAACTGCAAACGGTTATTGCATAACATTAGGCCTATTATTGCTTGGATTTGAAACATGATGGAAGCCACGCCATAGTAGCTGAACGCTCGCCGGCCGGCATGAAGATTTGCAGTTTAAATCTGCATTGAGTAGGTCGACCCAGCCAAAAATGGGCACAAAGGAATTTCTGTGGGAAGTAAAAGCAGCCGGCACCATGTTGTTAGCATGTTTGATGTGCCACTGGTGTTTAAAAAAAAAGGGAGGGGGTTAACTTTACTTCACAACATGAAGATTCAGAATACCTGATGTGGCTAAATTGACAATATTTTTTGCCCACATGATCTGGCAAACATTTTTTCAAAAATATAATTTTAACATACTTTACCTAGAAAAAAAAAATGCCCCTAAATTTACTTTCAGCACAATAAGCAGAAACAAAAATTGCTACTGCTACGACTAGTAACTTACTCCCCACAATAAACCTGCAAATGGGTGTTGTGCAAAGCTTGAAAGCTTAAGCTGGTTTTTTTTTTAAATATCTATATTATTTTAGAGCGTAGGCTGAAAGTTAAAACAGCCCTCTTTCTTTTCATAGTCTTACGAGAGTCACAGCACAGAAGAGACTGAGACCTCATCAGGTAATATTCCCAAAGACAACAGTGGGTATACTGTGGCCAACCTTTATTGTGGAGATAACACCGTTCTATGAAGAGTAAGTAAAAGTCCCCTTTCCATGCCTTTGGGCGTATAGGGCATATAGGGCTAGACCTATATTTTTTATAGACCAATCGGCACAAGACGGGTGATGTGGCCAGCATCCCGTCGGCTGCCTTCACTTCCCGGGACTGCACCCGGTACCCACTCAAGGATGGGTCGACCTGGGAGTCAAGGTCATTTCTTTAAAAAGCCCGGCTCTGCCAGGGAGCAACCCTACGACCTTCCGATCCTCACGCGAGCGTCTAGCCACTACGCCACGGCGACTACACCGTTCTATGGGATCACAGGAGAACAGACAGAGCATCCATTTCTGGATCCATGTTCTGCCTGCAAGGAAAATATTACAGGCGAGCTTTTAATCAGGTTGAAACCGGCACCAGCTTGTGAACTCTTTGCTGGCTACTGAAGAAGGGGATGGAGCACATATGGGAATGCCCCTAGTGCAGTGATGACAATTCTTGATTTTTCTGATTCATGGCACACTGTCAAAAACTGCCATCCCTGCCTATATTTAGACATTCTGCGATGTAGAGAATGGATCTGATCTTGAGAATTCAGAGCCGCATGACAAATGCAGTCACCATGGACTGTGCCAGTTAGGATGTTATTTCTGCCCCCAACAAACAGAACAAACCCACCACCTTACAGAGGTTGAACCTGGGTCTCTCACATGAGAGCTTAACATATTTAACCAACCTGCCAGCTGCTCCTTCTTTCCATGGCTTACACAAGGTTCAACATTAAATAAACAGGAAAGACAACAGCAACTAGTTACTTCACAAACTCATGCTTTGGCTATTACCTGGTATTATAGCTTGCGGAGCTGTAGGTGTTAGAACTGTTAATATGAGAAAAGAAAAACATAACAATCCTTTAAAAAAAGTAGAATGGATATCTAGAATCAGCTTCCTGTTCTAATGCAATGAAAGCAAAATTAAAACCTAAACCAAACAATAAAAACTGTTTTCCCACCAGATAAATGTTTCCAACAAAAAAAAAAAAAAAAATAATAAAAACAACATATAACTGGGTATCATTTTACCATTATTAAAAAAATAAATTAATTTTGACATCATCATCAAGATATAAATCACTTTATAAGTACAGCAAAAATGGAAAAGAAGTGAAACTAGTTGTGAAAACTTGAATTGGCACTACTGTGAAAACTTGAATTGGCATTACTCTCAAATTGTTATTTATTCATTGGTTTCCATTAAGCAACTTAGGTAATTCAGTAACTATAATTTTATCTGCAATGAAACATTTCTCCAGCACTAATCAGCTTTCGCAGCCTTGCATAGAGTGATAGTAACTTTGGACCGAGGAAGTCTGGAATGGATAGCTGGCGAAACACAGTCAGCAGCTGCAAGAGCTGATCAAGGAAAATTTACGCCCAGTTGACAAGATTATATACACAAACGGGTATATAGTGACAGGTAAGAAGGGTGGGTGGGGGTTTTATAGCAAAGGGAAACGGACACTTTGAAATCAGACAGCCTCACATACAATGTCACTACATCCAGTATGAGAATGGAGGTGGAGGCAGTAATGGTTGCTTTCCAACTGCTTCAGAAGAACAGCACAGCCCTACATGTTTTTTAAAGGAATCACAGAGCGTGTTTCAGAAACATTTTTTCTTCTATTCTGTTGGCAGACTGGCTGGCATCATACATTTTTTGTCCAGGATATTCAAGTATGTGAGGTAACGAGCAGACTGATAGAATGGCTGCTGCTGCTCCTGGGTGGCAAACTACAGTACAATAAAGCAGACATGATAAAGGTTCTCTGGGATCAAATGGAAAGTGCAACAGAAAAGACAGAGAATCCATACACCGATTGACTAATCGAACGGGAGGAGGGTATATGATTCAGAAGATATTCAACACTGTACTGTATGTATTGCAGAAGCATTCTATTTTATTACAATGTAACTAAACAGGCCAGATTTCCTATAATATGAAACCAATTTAAAACCTAATATTTATAAAAATAAGTGGACCTTTACTTGCTAGCTTGTAATCTGTAATCATCATCATACTGATGTGTCGATTATATGTCAGACAGGATGCATTTTTATTTCGGCACCTGATTCTTTGTCTGCTTGGCCTCAAAATATGCCCAGTATGATCATTTGATTGATCAGTTTGTCCTCTCTGAGCTGCTACCTGAAGGTTCACTATACCCCCTCTTTTATAACTGTTAATGCTTGCAATACAACATTAAACATATTTATCTTTTCTAATCTGAGTTAAGACAATGTATATAGTTTGCCAATTGTAAACAAAGTTTTTTGCTGTTCAGCATTCTGAGACCTCTGGGCTCACTGCTGCAAAAAATCCCCTGCCTCCATTCATCTCTGTGATTGGCCTTTTTCCAGTTAGTGTTTGTCAAGTGTTTGTAGGTCTGTCTGTACACTATCTCTCTCTTTTTTGTCTGTCCTGTGGTCTTCTAATGAATTTCTTTTGCATGTGCAGTTTTTGTCCCTCTATTATTTGGCATTCTCTCTATATGCTGCAACCATCGCAGTCTATCAGTGATAACAATACCAGTAGTTAATGGTGACTGAAACAGATGAATTTAGCGATGGCTGCCTCTTGCTTCTCGTTGTCTGGGGCTTGCGTCTTTGATGGGTCCAAGGAATTGCCAGAAGACAATGTTTTAAAAACTCTGTAATAAGGCTTCCTCTCTTTCAGTTATCCTCCAGATTTCAGAGCCATACAGGACAACTAGTCTCATTAGTGTTTTACATACTGTGATCTTGATGTTAGGAGATAGAGCATTTAATTTTAGCAGATGTTAAAGATATAGTTTGTTTTTAAAATATCTAATTTGAAGATGGTATTCTATATTGTTCTTCTTCCCAATATTTCTTGTGTATACAAAATGCAGACGAGTTAGTTTACTTTAAATCAATATTCCATGTGTACCAGATTATGGTAGTTAATGAGTTACAGATCTTAACATATTAAACATAACGTAGTGACGAATCAGCTTTTATGAAGCTCCGATCCATGCAGTTAAAGAGTTATTCCATTTCATAATTCCATGATCATATAACATTTATTTACTAAAGAAAAATGCAATACATAACTGTTTCACAGACACTAACACACTAAAAGAGATAAAAGAAAATGGTTGTCTTAAAAGTTATTAGCTATGTTACAACTGAAAAGCTAGCTATATAAACTTCACTAGTAAACATTTTACATGGACAAAGGAGCAATTATTACCTCTTATTCTGCCTGGGCCACGTTCCATCATCATTTTTGGCTTCTATGACAATCACCTTTAGAAGTATGCAAGTAACAATGTTAAAGGTGACAGGATCGAGTTAGTTGCACTGGGTTTTATCCCATGTGGCTTGGTCTCTAGTAATAAAACAGCTAGCTGCATGCCGAGAGTGTCACACAAAGTGCAGACTCCACAGCTCCAGCAATGATCCCCAGGAGTCTCCATAAAAATGTTCCTGCACTCTTTAGGTCGACCCCGCGGTTAAATTAACCCACAACAGCTTTACCAGAGACCAACACCCACCCCCCAACAAGTACCACAAGTAACAATGTAAGAAAGCAAACAGCCCTTTTCACACCACTGGTACATAAAGTAAATGATGCCGGGCCCAAATCTGTATAGACCAATCAGCATCGGATGAGTGTTAAGGTTTACCAAATGGTAACTTGAGGTGTTGAGATGAAGTATAATTTACAGGAAAGTATCGGTTTGTATGCTTTGTAAATTCGGATTCTAGCTTGCATGGTTGACCTCTTCTTTGTTTCCTGCCTGCTTTGTACACAGTACATCATTGCCTGTTGTGGTATACTGTCTGCTGACAACCATGTTATATGGCCAAATCATTTCACCTGTTGTCTCCTAATGAAATCCAGAGCTGCTGCTAAAAACATTTTCCTTCAGATTTCATCATTTCTGGTTTGATCTCTTTTTGTAACATTGAGAGCCCTTCTCAGGAAACTTATTTCAGCTGTTTTAATTTTTCTTTTCTCTTTTTTTCTGTCACTGTCCAGGTCTGACACTGGTAACAGGAATTGGCAAGAAGATTGTGTCATAGAGTGTTCTTGTGGTTTCTACTGATACATGTCTGTTTCTAACTATTGGTGCTATTTGATCGATGAGTTGGTTTGCTCTGTTACATCTCTCCTCAATCTCATTTTCTGTTTTGCCAGCTGATGATATCATGCTTCCTAAGTATTTGAAGTTCTTGGTTTGTTTTGTCTACTTTGGCATTGGTCATCACCTCCCTTTTGTTGGCATTAATTTTAACGCTATGCTCTTTGCAAATATGGTGGGGAGGGCCGAAATGCGGATTATGAAGTCATAATGACTGAACAGCTACTTTCCCCCCCAAAACTACACGTGCTATGTTAAGTAAATATAATCACATCCATCACTTAAAATTGCATGAGTGCAAACAGAACCAACACTTAACCAGGCTTGTCTGAGACCAGCCCATGCAGAATTGTGGGTTCAACAGTTGTGGGGAAATAAAGTGTGAAAAAAAAAGGGGGGGGGGGGGCGAGGGAAGGGGGTATTTGTAAGATGGAAATACCAGAATATTTGCATCAGAGTGTGAAAGGATTCAGACTCAAGGGAAGTTACTCTAGAATATAACAACTTTGAAACAGACTGTAAAAGAAAGAACTGTCTGAAACTAAAAGAGTTACAAATACAACTTCAGTATACCAACAATTTAAGCAAAAATATTTAATAAAAGAAATAAACCAACATACCTGTCCCTGATACAGACCAGCCTCTTGTAAAGTAATATCCTTTTTACTTAGAAGTTCAAATGTATTGCTCATGTAACGGTTCCACAATCGAACCTCTTTGTCATCAGGAATGGAAAACAGAGTACGCATTTCTTGTTCAATTGAGGCTGAAAACCAAAAAGTATATTCATAAGCTGTAAAAATGGCTAAAGTTCCAATTAAACAAAAATTTAAGGGGAAAAATGGGGGGGGGGGGGGGGGGGGGGAGATTTCAAAGTGTTATTTTTTTTATCCTTCAGCTTCTAGATGAGATGTTACAAATGTATTTAATCATTATGGCGTCAACATGAAGTGATTTATTTCTGAACTATTTTGTCAAGCCTGTGGCTCAGTAAATCAAATCTCGACATGCATCCCCTTCCCCTAGTTTGAATCTCCTATCCTTTGACTGTCCCCCGTTTACCCGCAAAACAACAGTTTTTTTTTCCCTCTAATTCCTATTAACATGCCCAACATGGAGACCCTACCAGTAGCTTGTGCACTGAAAGACTCCTCCTGGTGGCTGCTACAAGCTTTCATTACCCAATCGCGCAGATCCACTTCTAGGATATGATTCCTCTATTCTGGGGATGCTGTCACTAGAGAACATGCAGGCAGGTGTGCAATATCTTGTGAATTGTCCAGACCTCCCATCTGTGGCCTGTCATGTTACCTCAAGATATCTCTAATACCTCACATCATGAAACCTATGCTGGAACCTTGTTACTGTGGAAAATCTTCAGACAACAAACACCCAATTCAGTCACCCAGCATGACACACAGGTGCATAAGTCCAGTCTGGCAACACCCAGACCAGAACCTATACTCATACACATTTAAAGAGCTCCCTGATAACGCCCTACAGATGCGCACTTAAGAACAGCATTGACCTAAGAACAGCAGACTATCGTGGAGTCAACTCAAATTTTCCCCATCTGCAGTGTATTCCACATGGATCTGGCTCTCTTACCAGAACCCAGAATTCACAACCCATCCATGTTGTCGGCCCACATGGATACCACAATATCAATGATGGACCTTGGCAACACTATGCGAATGCCTGTGTGCATCAATGCTTCATGAAGCTTTGGCTTTCTTAATTCTTTGCACACCACAATGACTTTTACATAAAACAAGCAGCCTGGCGTGATATTGACCAATCACCCACTAAGTGCCATTTGGTCCACACACAAACAAAAAACAGATCCAGCGATGTATGTCCAATAGACCTAAAGGTGTGGTATGGGTCCTTTACCTTTTAGTTATAAAAGCAGTGATACGTTGCTGACCACATCACCCATCCAGAGCTGTTTGGAGTACATAAAATTATTAATCTCGCATAATATGGTCGATGTCTCACAAGCGTGAAAAGGGTCTTTTACTTTTGTAAGAGTTATGTCGGCATTCTAGTCAGTCAAAAATTTAACCTTTCATGGAAGTCAGTACAGACACACCTGGACGGCTTCTGCTTCCAGGACAAGGGGATGCCTAATGTGCAGTGACCCTGACTGTGATAACACAATACACTAACAAGACAGCTCGCTAGCAAGTGTGGTACCACATCAAACCTACAGGTGGTATGGGGTATATCCCTGGGATGATATGAGTCATATATTTCTGCTACCTAGAAAAATCCACAGTACAAAATGTTCTACAATGCAGAATCATTATTGAAATAAAACTGGAAACCACAGTTGCGTATCGGCTAGATTCTTGCTGCCCAGCCTGAAGGTTTGGGTTTAAATCTGCATTGAGTTAACCAAGATCTATAAAATGAATGTGCGCAAAAAACTCAACTTCTGAACCACCAGAACTTTCCACTGTAGTTTACAGCCAGTGAACGCTAAGAAGAAGAGGTCAATCCAGTCTAAAACAGGTACAAAGTAAAATCCTAGGAAGTAAAGGTGGCTGACCTGATGATGACCATACCATTCACCAAGTTCCGCATGGTCTAGATAAATACGAGTCTAGCATTACATATCGCACAACTGAAGTAAAAAGAGACCTTAACTGAATACTCACCAACTGTATCAGACCGACTGAAAGCTCGAGTTATCACAGTGTTAAGATCAGAATTCTCACAAAGTTTCAGCTCCATCAAGTATACCTCTACCTTACAATGCTTCACAAACATGCCTTGTTCAATCACCTTTCGAATTATTGGCTCCTGAATAAAAGACATTGGACATGGAAACATTAGAGAATATATATCATTTTTTTTTTATTTAATCATTTGCAGTTCTAACAAGGCAAACAGTCAACCCATATTTGCCCCGCTCCTGTGCCACCAAAAACCACATACAGTGCCCATCACTTTCCCTTATGAAAAAATCTTTAACAGACTGCAGTCTCTGTAAAAAATTTTTTGGCTCACAGGTTTATGCAAACTAAAATGGGTGCCTAGAAATGGAAGCATAGGCAAATAATCAGTTACCATGCTTTCTAGTGTGCAGATCGTAAATACAGAAAAGATAATCATAAAATTACCAATGATGCAATTCCTAAAAATATGATCCTGCTTGGCAAAATATCCTTTCATTTTAGTCCCAGGCAACTGTTACTCTAACTCTGCAAACCCCAAGCAACAATGCGGAGGTGGAAATATGTTATTATGGTCTGTAGAGAATGGTGCAGTAGAAAGTGACCAGAGAGGCAAACATCTGATGACAGTTGATTAATCTTTCCATGCACTGATGGCATTGAAATATACGAGGTAGAACCGGCAATAAACTAAAAGGCTTACTGGTGAGTAGTGACAAATGAACTGGTCTACAAAGGCCCTACTATGTGATGGGTACTACAAAATAATGACTTACTTTACAGTTAAGTCCTAGAACAAAACCAAAGTACAGATGGGGACAAACAATTAGGAATTTTTGCTGGGATTTAAAATTGGTGAACGTGAAGAAAAAGACAATTATGTTAGAATAAAGAAAGCCAAGTTAGAATAATAGAGTACCTAGTAAGAAAAACTAAGGACAATCAAACATAATTCTCACATGAATTCTGGTCAGGATACACTGTGGGGAAAACAAAAAGTGACCCACTGCCTTCCTTACAAGAATGTCGTGGGAGTCAATTTGATTGGGGACATCCTTTTAAGTTAGAGTACATCTGCCTGAGAGGTAAAAAACCAAAAGTCTGTATATTAATAAGCCAGATCTGTGAAACGGTTGTGCATGCAACACTCAGGTTTCGCAATGAGACGAAGTGGACGAACACCCAGAACCTTCCAGTAGAGTTTACAGCTGATGAACGCCAAGATGAAGAAATGAACACAAAATAAGCAGCAATGTTACCTGTCCAGGTGCTTCTCCATACCAGGAAGCCAACTTTTTATATGCTTCCTCAGGTAACAGCACATAGTCCAAATCATCCACCAAATGATCTCTCAGAACTGTACTGTCCGCTGTTGACAGTCATGTGGAAACAGTTAGAAGCAGCAGCACAGCTTACAGACAGCTAGCTAGCTTACAGTATTTTATACTACATATTTACTACAACAACAACGAAAAAGCTGAAACCAAAATATGTCACAGACCATAATGTATTTATTTCTAAACATAAATACATGTCTCTGTGTGCATAAGCATTAGCATGGATACATTAATATATAAATTGATGGATGGATGTTTATGCATTACTGAATGCAAGAAGTGACACAGTGATATTTATCATGTCGGTGCCATGAACTGAACCAATCTCAGAGTTGGTGGCCTCTAGAAATGTAGCATCCAGTCTGGCTCACACCAGCCCACCACCAATACATGTGTGAAATCATCTATCAAAGCTCATTTGGAACATGGGTAAAGTCTGATAGCTGAAAATACTACTAAATGACAACCCTCAGTTAAAATGTCTGTCGAGTGGGAAGAACTACCGCACTGCTGAGACTCAGTCCTAAAACAAAGAGATTTACTCGCAGCCTAGATGAGCGGGAGGTAATTCCAGAACAGTCCTGGCTTCGTACATCCCTTACTGTTCCTCAATGTTGCCGTCATCAAGGGGAGTTACACTATGACAACCTGCCATTCTGTGTGTGGGTCTGGAAAGAATGTTCATCTGATATTTGTCCAATCCCCAACCGAAAAAAAAACACCTACTAACTAGCAGCCAGGTTCACATGCCCATTACCACTGGGCCATACCAGAGTGAGGGACCTAAAAGGGGGAGTCATGCCAGATGCATGCTTTGCTGTACTGCCTTGCTAGGTTTCCAGATGAAACAACATTAAAGGTGTCTAACATGCCAAAAAGAAATGTACCTCTTTGTGTGGTTATCGAAATCCCAGAACTGCGGGCTGCTCCCTGCTGATCTTTGCAGGGTGCAGCCCGTGATGTCTGGAAAGCTCAATATATGGATGTGAGGTTAGGCAGACATGTGCAGGTCATGACAATTCCTTGCGTGAGCCCAGGACCAGAGCGTCACATGTCAGCTCTGCATTTATGGAAGCCTCCTTGGATGGCAGGGAATGCCCCTGCCTTCCTTTGAGGGCTGACCTGTCTATATGTGAATGCTCTGGATGGGGTCTCCAGGGGCAACACCTGTAGATAAGGGGACAACAAGAGCACCACACAAATAAAGCCGCAACATGTCCATGTCTCATGAAACTATCCGGCAAGTTTACCCAGTCAATGCTCGACGAAGTCAGATGTACTGGCCAAAAGGTGCAAATATCGCAGCTCTGCCGTAAACAGGCACAATACATTTATCTCACGTGTATGAACGAAAAAAGAATGCAAGAATCTGCCATTCCTGTTTCCTTTCTATTTAATATTCATATTATGCATATTCAGGGCGTTTTCTACATTAAAGATGTCATGACTCGCCACAAAATGCCTTTAAAAAAAAGTTTATTACAGTAGTGCTGAATAAAATGATGCCACAGACATTTCCCTTATTAAAGACCAAAATATTTTCACATAAACGAAACAAAAGAACTAGATATCACAAATTATTCTCACAACGAAGAAAGAAAAAGACCTTAACCAACTTCACCAAACCATTTGTTCATGAGTGGTTGGATTTTGCAGGTGAAGTTGTTTTCTACAGATAATCCAGTCTAACAACATTCTTCCTTAGTCATCTTGCAAGACATTCATAGTAACCTAGTTAGCACCTTTTCGTCTTTCTAGATAAAAAGTTTGAGTCTGATCAGCAAAACAAGCTGGCCCGAAGGCCAGGGATGAAGATCCTCTTCATAATAAAAAGCCTGTGCAGCACAACAGGGACAATGTGTTGCTGCCCATGTAGCATGATATATATATATATAATCTGTGTGTGTGTGTGCGTACGCGCATGTGTGTGTGTGTCTGTCTTGTTTACTCAAAAGGAAAGGTAACAACACCAATATATTTGGGGTAAAGCCTGCTACAGAAGTTGCTAGATAAGAACAACAGTGCTCTGTCTGCCTGTCAAGCTTCCCTCATACACCAGCTGCCAGCTAAGACTAAGGCCTAGTCTGCCCTGCCATTACATTTAAGTTTTCATGTTGCATTTCCTCTTCCTATGAGAGTATGATAAGTTGCAGTATTGCTATGCTTTGCTTCACTCTATAGGCCTCAGTAACAAATGGACACAACACACTGATTAGTGCCAAAAATGTAGCAATGCATCCTCCGATAACAGCAGCAGAAGAGGTAGAAGAAAAGGGGCAAAATCTGCAACAGATGAAGGGAAGGAAAAAGACAGGTCCATAAAACCCCAATCTTACGTTTAAACAAAGAGCAGTTGTCAAAAGGGCCAGGATGAACTGCCTGATCCCCAAGACTGTAAGAATCCCATTGGTCGTAGCCGACATACTTCTTCCACTGTTTGAACCACCTAATATCAACCAGGTACCTGAAATGACAAAACAAAAGAATAATAAACCTTCAGTTCCACTCTGTCTTTATTATTTTGTTTTTCACAGATTTTTAGAGTATGTAACTAAGTAACATTTCAAATTACGTAACCAATGTTAGATAATATTATTCCCCAGTGTATTAAAAATGTTTTTCCCCTGGATGCATTTCATTACAAACAGAAGGTCCTGTGTGCAACTGGTGCACAATAAATAATCAATCATGCCTTAGCAGTTGAATGTTGAATTAGAAATTGACTTCACAGCACTCAAGACATTCCCATAAGTGTTCAGTCTCCATCTGCAGCAAGCTCTGAGTTCAAATTCCGGTAGCATCAGTAACAGTCTGATTGTATGACTTTTTATTGAGGCCAACAAGTTACAAATGACGTTAAAGACAACGTCAAAGGTCATCTTGTCAATGTCATAATGTTTAATAATTTATTCAGCAGCGTCGGCATCTGAGGCATAAGTGTTGCGAAGAGCTTTGTAATGCTGGGGTCATTCACACCTGTGGACGATTTGTCTTGCATTGGTTCCGACAGTGGTACCGAGATCTGACCGTTCAGAGAGCAATGGCAAACCACTGAATGTAAAATTTGCCTAGAAAAGCCACAACAGCCAACAAATTGCTGGGGTTGGTTCTGTAACGTCCTGTAAAGGATACAGAACTAAACTTTTTTTTATTTGGCAGCAAAAACATATTTTTAAAATCAATTTATCATTCATTATTTGGTGATTTACCTAACAGTATTGTCTGGATTTTTTCACCAGGGAATGCCGGTGTGTTGGGAAATGAACAGGCAGACAGACTGACTGGCTCTGCACAACTTGGTGGAATACTGATACATGATAAGGCAGACGTGATTAGGGCCTTGTGGGAGAGCGTGTACAGTTCGGAGGAGCAGATCGATCCCCACAGTCTGGTGAGATTGATGCGGGGGAGTGACAAGAGGTTCTGGCAGATGCTGGAGGCTGAAAGGAAAGGCAAGACGGACGTTTAATCAGAATGCAATTGGCACCATTATTATCGGAACTCTTCGCTGGCTGCTGAAGATAGATGGGGACGGAGCACTTATGATATGGGAATGCCCCGAGTGCTGTGATGTTGGTTCTTGAATCAAATAAAATGAAATGAACTGAACAGTTTATGAACTGTTGATGTAGAAACAAGAAAAGTAGTTTTAAGTTTTAGTTTAGTGTTTGTTTAGTTTAGCTGTTACTGTTTAGTTGATTTACTGACAGTCATGGATTTGGAGTGAAATAACTTGAAAAAAGGTTTCCATTTCGACCAACAAATCCCACCATTACTACGAAATAAACTGAGTTTATTATGATTAGAGTAATTATAGTATAGTACGACTACTACGTGAAGTTACGGCTAAAGGCTAAACTAAAGTCACTGAAGTACTGAGTAATGAACGACCGAAACTAAACATTGACTAAACCGACTAAACGCAACTAGTGTCACTGTCAGCGAATTAGATAATGAACACACACGTATTTTATTTATATTTTTGAAAAAAATCTTCACATAAACTAGAAGATTAATTATGTCTTACCATGACTCGCCTTTCTTCATATTTCTGGACAAATACCCCTCAATAATCTTTTTCTGAGTCGCCAAATCCGGTGGCCCACCTTCCGCCATTTTGAGACTTATGTTCTCGTAGGAAGTTGCGCAAGATAAAACCTGGTTCAGTTGTCTTTGTCACCTGAATCAAATAATTAAAACTGTATCCATAGCATAACTCAGTAATAATTTGTAAGTTGTATGCGTGCTCCCAAACGTTTTAATCTCTGTCGTTTTCTACCAGTGGTGACAGAATCAATGAACTTAGACACTAGGTACTGACTGACAGAAACGTAACGTAAAACTGAAAATGTCACCGGCAAACATTAACGAAAGAAAATGTACATTCCTAAAGTACACACGCCTACTGTGTCATTTTCGGGTGCGGTTGGCTTGGTGTGTTTGAGTTCTCGGCGACTCATTTGGTGATTTTGAACTGCTTGGTACTCATAACATATAGGGAAAAGATTGGTAGAGAATATAAGTGGCACGGTTGTAACAATTCGATTTGTAACAGGAAGCTGCAAATATGTGGCTGTAAAGCGGGAAAATGAAAACATAGTGGACACATCAAACGTAAATGAAGATGCCTTGACAGAGACACTTCGCAAACAGAATTGATTTACTGTATCTGAAAAGGACAGTTCCCATTCTTTAGACATGTCGTGAGAAAGGGAAACCTAGAGTACGTCATCACTGTGGTGAAATTGCAAGGAAGGAGGAGACGAAGTGTGAGGATGCTAGCCAATTTTGCATTTTAGTCTGAAAAAAAAATCATAAATTATTGGCAGTAAATGCGTTACAGGGCTGTGAACAAAAATGATGTGCATCTGTTAGATACTTCTTCTTCTTCTTCTTCTTCTTCTTCTTCTTCTTCTTCTTCTTCTTCTTCTTCTTCTTCTTCTTCTTCTTCTTCTTTTTTCTTCTTTTTCCTCTTTCTCATCCTCTTCCACCTCCTCCTCTACTGCTTCTTCTTCTTCTTCTTCTTCTTCTTCTTCTTCTTCTTCTTCTTCTTCTTCTTCTTCTTCTTCTTCTTCTTCTTCTTCTTCTTCTTCTTCTTCTTCTTCTTCTTCTTCTATTGTTATCGCCATCGGTTGTGGTATCTGTGCAATTGTCGTCCGTTTCTCGAGTCGACTGAGCGCTGGATTGATTCATCTCCTTGCAGGACTCTTCCCGTTTATCTGAATCTTCGCTGGTCTTCCCCCCCCCCCCCATCTTCTACCAAGATAGTCTGCTGTAGAAAGTCTCATCCGCAATTTGGACAGGCCCCATTCTCACTAGAGGGTCATCCCTGTGTGGGTTCCGGGGCCCTATTATAGAGAAAACAAGAATAGACCCACTGCCTACCCAAAAGTCCTAAGAGTCGACTAATTGGAGCTTCCTTTAAAGTCGGAGTGCATCTGCCTGAGAGGCAAGGAACCAGCAGTCTGTATACAAATGAGTCAGATCTGTAAAACGGATGCACACGCAACACTCAGGTTCTGGAACAGGACTGCAGTCAAGAAGTTGGTAAACAACCAGAACTTTCCGCCAGAGTTTACAGCTGGTGAACGCGAAGAAGAAGAAAAAGACTAGAGGGTCAAACCATTCAAATACTGTCTGCCTACCTAATTCAGTCACTGTCTTCCTCTAGCTTTCTCTCTAGTTTTGTTATTCAGGACATTGTCCCTTCTGGTATTGTTGGCTCTTTATGACAACTTATCACAGACGGAAGAAGGAGACATAATTTTTCGGCCATGATATGAGAAGATGGAAAATGGAACGAGTTGTGACCACTGGAAAGATCTGTGGAAGAAGGGATAGAGGAAGACAACAAGAGAAGATTCTTGACAGTCTTGTTGCATGGCATTGAGGTGTGTCGGCACACGAACTGATACATGCTGCAAGAGATCGCATATTTTGGAGAGGCACGATCGCCCACGCCAGTCGACAAGGCACCTGATGATGATGATAATACAGGCGTGTTGGGAAACAAACAGTTAGACCGGTTGGTTCTGACATACTAGGCGAAGAATTTGTGAATGCCAAACTAGACGTCAAGGCTCTTGGGTGGAGAATTGTGGCTGGAAGATAGGGGGTGTCGGGTGGATAATGTGTAGACAGGATGAGATCAATACGGTCTGGAGAGAATGGTGTAGCAGGGGGTCTGGTCGACACTCGGAGGAAAAGGTGAGATGGATACATAATCAGACTGACACTAACGGAAACGGAACTTGTCTCTGGTCAGCAAATCAATCATGTTTAATAGAAGGCATCACGGAACAGTCTCTAATCTTTACACAATCACCTTCATCTATGTATGTTGTTGATACATTATATAGAGCTTACAGTCGGCTCCTCTGGTAATCTTAGTTTCTGCTTCATAGCAAACGGGTCACCCCATAGTTGCTCCGCTCCTGTGCCAACGAAAAACACACAAAATGTGTATCACAGTTCAAATGAAATCCGCAGCTCACAGTGTCACGCTATGCACTCAGCTCAGAAGCTGGGCAACGAAACTATATCCTTCCAGTCTACAAAGGGAGCAAAAATGCAACGGCCACCGTCTGGCAGAAGCAAATAAATTTGCCACGGCTGAAAAAAAGTGGCTGTGCCTAGCGTCCATTTTGACCTGAAGTATTATGCGAGGGTCAATAAACGGTCACCCCAGCAGTACCCTCTCTATTAGCTGGGGAAGGGACAGGACATTACATCCACCAGCAAGCGTCGCCCCTACAATGACCTGTCTAATTTGTCATGTGTATTCCTGCAATATTATGCATATAATCCAATCTCAATCTGGCACTTTTGGCCTCTCTCATCTACATTCTTCGCTTGTGTCTCGTGAAGGTTCATCTCAAACTATATCTGTGCAAATTGAAAAAAAAAAATGCAGGCAAAAACCTAATGCACCTATTCCAATCCTGTCTCTAATTCCGGCTAAGTCGCACTTTTTTTTTTTTAAACAGCACTCTGGGCGTTGTGGGCAACATCCCGCAGACCGCTGTATTTCCCTAGACTGTACCTGGTACCTATGCTTGGGTCGACCTGGGAGCCATGTCATTTGGTGTGAGAAAAAAAATGGGGTTCCGTCAGGATCCGAATCCACTACCTTCCGATCCTCATTTGAGCGTCTAGGCTATACACCAAAGCGCCCCTAGGTGATCGTAAAAATGGTCAGGAGAAGAAACGAAAGAGCCCTATAGTTGGCTTTTTTCTGACTAGACTAAAGCTACAGAACACGCACAGCCAGTTTGACTGGTGAACCTTCCGGCTTTCAACCTGCCTTGAACTGAGTCACAAAGCTGTATGTGTCAAAGTACATTTAACAACTTTAATGGCGAGTTAAACCTAACGAATGTACTTGGCCCTAGTTTCTTCGCCTGCCCACATTAAAAAAAAAAAAATTACTCGGTATTATTTGTAGATTTCATTGAACGAGCAGTCATTTTTTTTTTTTTTTAAAAATTAATTTTTTCCCCTTGAATTTTAGGGGTGCTTCTTATACAAGTCGGCTCTGTGGCTAAGTCGATGCGAACGCTTCGTAATGCCGGGATGCCGGGTTCGATCCCAGCTGCGGGCCACGCTCTTTCCGTTGGTTTCGACAGTGGGATCAAGAAAGCCGACCGTCCTTAGGCAATGGTAAACTACTGGATAAATTTGCCAAGAGAAACCACACAACAGCCAGGGGCTGTTAGGGTTGATTCTGCAACGTCCTGTAAAGGATACGCAACTAACCTTTTTTTTTTCTTATACAAGGTACCGACAAACATGGTATCTATATTTATGCCTTATCGATTACATCAAAGCATTTGATAAGGTGAAACACCAGGAGATGTTGAGAATGTTAAACCCTTAAACATTTCTAGCGAAGATCAAGTCTGTCTGTCTGTCTGTCTGTCTGTCTGTCTGTCTGTCTGTCTGTCTGTCTGTCTGTCTGTCTGTCTGTCTGTCTGTCTGTCTGTCTGTCTGTCTGTCTGTCTGTCTGTCTGTCTGTCTGTCTGTCTGTCTGTCTGTCTGTCTGTCTGTCTGTCTGTCTGTCTGAATGAATGAATGAATGAATGAATGAATAAATGAATAAATGAACGTACATACGTATGTATAAATGTATGTGTGTGTGTATGTATTCCCACATTTTTACAGACCATCGGCACTAGTTTGGTAATGCAGTCAGCATTACGCCGGCCGTCCTTACTTCCCCAGGACAGCCATCCTGGTACCCATTTTAGACTGTGTCGACTTGCGACCCCCACACCATGATAAAAATCCACGCACCCAGCAGTGGGTTTCGATCACGGTACGTAGGAATTACGAGTGGGACTATATATATATATATATATATATATATATATATATATATATATATATATATATATATATATATATATATATATATATTTATATATATATATATAGTAGAGTTGTACCGAATTTTCGTTTCGTATTCGCTTCGGGGCCGAATAGTAGAAATAATAACTATTCGGTATTCGGCCGAATACTTGCGGTCTGGCCGAATACGAATAGTGGTTACCTTACACCCGTTTCTGCATACACTGTGATGGACTGAAATAACCATCTCAATAACACAATAGTTGCTGTTGCCTAAGTCTGTCGTAGCGGGGGAAACTGCGACCCTGTTGCGTGGTACAGCAGGTGGCAAGGTCTTTGTCTGCTGACTCGACCGAGGCATTATAGCAGATGTTCTCAAACTGGGTGCGAATGCCAGGGGTGCGACCGATCCTCTATCTGTATCCGTGAAGGTGCAACGGATAAGTGAGATTGTGATTACATTTTGGCTGAAATTTTAAAATAAAATGTGGTCTACACTAAAGTAACAGTTAGCCTAGTTATGTAAGCACTTATATTTAACAATGCTTAAAATATCTTGGACAGCCAACAAAAAGCAACCAAGAGGTTTCGAGAAAAGGCAGGAGCCCGTAGACACAGACATCAGAAGTAGACAGTCATCATTTTTCGGCTATGTTATGAGAAGATAGAAACTGGAACATGTGGCGACCACTGGAAAGATCTGTGGAAGGAGGGATAAAGGAAGACAACGAGAGAAGATTCTTGACAGTCTTGTTGCTTGGCATAATCGC